GACATGAGACATTATTACGACCCATATGTATGTTCATTGTAAGGTGTGACCTCTAGTGGCCGTAGTTTAAAGCAGGCGCAAAGAAGGAAGTCAAATGATGTACTATAGAGAGTGACAAAGTCCACATAAGGAGAAGGTCGGGGTGGATGGATTTGTCAAGATCACCCAGACTTTCAACCAGGAGACCGCTGTTAGTGTCCCATGTGAAACCCAAAGGCAACATTGTCACATTACATAAAGTAATGTAACTTCAGTTACACAAGTATGTGTAGGTGTTGGCAGTAAACATGTTTTCACTTCTTATCTCACATCTGCACATCTGCCCTCTGTTACGCAAACAGACACACAAACACAGAAGAAATCATGGCCGGCAGCCCAGTCACACCTGCTATGCCTGATGTCTTTCCATTATGATCGGCACATGCAGCAGAGGAGAGATACTAAAGTAGAGATATGGATGGATAGGTGCAGCAACATGGTGAGCAATGAAACAAGTGAGGCTGAAAACAAAAAATGGAAACATGAAACAAAACTTGAGGGGAGAAATGATGGGGTGAGAGAGGCATAAAGAAATGGAGAAATAACAATATTGAGAAGTCACAAGCAATTTTAATGGCAGAAGGCTGGGGATAGAAGAAATAAATGAGATACACAGAGACTGACATGCAGGCAGTGGAAAGGCAGCACACAAACAGAGCACATTTATGCAATATTGCTAATATTTGACATTCTCATCAATAAAGCTTCTTTGAATGGAAAGGGAGCAGAACTGACAGACTGAATAAAACAGAAAGCCAGATGGAGAATCTCTCTTGAAAATCTTTGATACTTTTTTTCTTTAAGCTTTCATGCGAAAAAAAAAACAAAAAAACATTGAATTGAATTTAAATGTTCTCCACTATCAGAGATTTTATCACAGATACTGCTACAGTAAAAGTCAAAGAAGAATGGTGATTCAAACAGTAAAAATTGAATCAGTATTATTATTTATTATTTAGCATTAAGCCTTCCAGCTGCTGTGTTATAAACGCTGCCTGGTTGATGACACTGATTTCTGTGAACTGACCAATTTACCAATCCATCCAATCTTTGGATCAGTCAGTATTAACGTTTGAATGATAGGAAATTTCTGCATTCTATACATTTCTTTCTCCATTCGGGACTGAAACCTACCCGCCTCCTACTCCTCTGCTGTCCTTGACACCTCCTCCATCATTTTCTTCTTCCCAGCCACCCTCTCTGCCCGGCTGTCCTTTACAAGGCCCTGTCGATTTAATGTGATGGACAGGGGAGATGAGAGGGAGCATTCCTCTGTCAGCTGTAACACTCTGCCTCCAATTGACCCAGTCCTCTGCTACCACTGTTATGTCCTGTTTATGGACAGCAGAGGTCATAAATCTACTGTACATGGGACACAGACAAACACAGGGGAGGAGGATGGAGGAATATAATTTTCACACACTTGGACAAAACAAGCCTGTCCCTGTCTGTGCAAATGAATATACAATGTTTACATACACAGTGTATATCAAAGGTTCTTCAAGTCATTAAAGGTGCAATGTGGAAGATTGCACCTTTTGCTAGATTAATATCCATAAATCATTATGTTCATTATGAGACGTTATCATAGTTGCTGTAAACACAAGCTGAAAACACGTTCAGCCGCTGTCAGCCTTTACCTCAAGATCCTTTTTGTTTTTACAGAAAATCTGCAGCTTGAAGCATCCTTGTTTTTTTCATTTCCACTGATATCCTGGTTGCTAATAGACAAACAAACAAAAAGACAAGCAGAGCTGAAAGCGCAACCTTCTTGGTTATGTATAGGTCATAACAGCCAATATGCTTCAGTTTAAGATGCTAATTTCCAGGTCAACACTTCATAAGCACCAAAACTACACATTTGGAACATCACATTAAATAAAGTAAAGAAAATAATCAAATAAAGCAAACAAATAGATGCCAAGCTAACTCTTGGTTTCCAGAGCCCACATGCTTTTATCTTAAACCATTCCAAGTACACCAGCTAAAATTAAATTTAGGAAGCAGATAACCCTGGCTAAATTTCAGACTGTTGTAAGTACTATGATAAATGGCTCAACTGGAAATTGTATCTGGTCTTTTATTTTTATTTTTATTTTATTTTTTATCATTTTGTCCGTTTGGCTGTTTTTGTATTGTATTGTTTTGTGTTGTATTGTGTTGTAAACATTTTATGTTCCTGTCTTGGCCGGTTAAAAAAGGTTAAACATAAAAATCCAAATTCATTAACCGGCAAAGTCAAAGTAAAAGCAAAGAGCCACTGTTCTGTGAGAGTGTATTAAAAGTGGAGAACTGAAAGTTGGTTCACATATGGGTTCCCCTGCTCATTACTGGGAGTTGTAATTGTGTTAAGACTGAACTAATCACATTCCAACGCATACACAAATTTAATTGCCATTCAAGTGTAGCAACTAAAGTGATTGTAACTAGTTAAATTAGAAACAGGACCTCACCTCAAGTTGCAGTGTGCAAAAGGAGGTTAAATGCTTTCACAAGATTATTTTTGAAGGTCATAAAAAACACCCTAAATCGTGATACATGTTACCTCTAGCCATAAACATGAATTTTACAGGACACAATTTCACACAACATATGAGTTGCATCTTGTGACTTCAGTACACCTGGAGGCTTTAATGTGACTATCAGACAGAGCAATACGGTATCTGCCCATAACCCAACTGCAAATAAGACAAATATAGCAACTAGCTGGTGAAGGAAGAAGTTCAACATTTAGCAGTTAATGATATGGTTGTTGGAGACTAAAACAAAGCTGAAAGGAGAGTAAATATTGAAGTTATATTTATCTCGTCACCGGACTTCATCAATTTACAATAATCTTGTCACCAGACATGCTTGGTGACCAGATAAATCTAAGTTTATCTGAAGCGTAAGAATATATATTTATAAAATACATCCTAATGCTTCATCCATAACAATTTTACAAGGCAATAATATGTCAGGTCTTGTGTTTGCCAGCTTGTTGTGGACTTCTTCCGCCCTCCAGTGACCAAATTAATTCAGCTTTAAAATGCATTTTACTAACAAATCATAGATTTAATCCAATATCTTACTAACAGGCTTCAACAAGCAAGGTAAGGATAGATAGTAACAGCATTCATGTGCTTATTGTCATGGATCTGAAATGTCCCATGTTAGACAACCTCTGTCACAACAACCATCACTTCTGATTGTGCTCCCTGAGGCACAGCAGTAACCAAGGTTGGCAGTGTTTATTCCAAATGGGCACCCAACCATTCAAAAAAATCCTTGCTGTCGGGTGGTAACCTTGTATCTCCAAATTGCGTCTTTTCTTTTTTCATAAATCAATGCGATTGCTGTGGCATTTTACAAATATTTATGAATGAACAGTATTAAAACCAGTGCAGTGTCATTTAAAAACACTGGGGGTTTTTGTTTCCCTGGAAAGTAAGTAACTAGTTTTGGAGATACAATGCTTCTGCAAGAAAGTCATGATATGCAGCTCCAAAATGGCCAAAATTAAAGAAGTAACACATTATAAAATAAATAAATTGGACTAACTGTGAGTAAGTAAATGAAGAAAAACTTGTAAATTACTCAATAACCTCTATGTTATTATGAAATTCTATGTCATAGGTTTTAGCCACGCTGGAAAATGGTCCACCACTTTTTTCAAATTTTCTCCAGATGGCTTGATGGATGACTTTGGTGATCTCCTGGCTTTTCATCAAGCACCACCATCTCAAAATGTGCTCTGGTATTTCTCCTGTGACACTGGGTCTATACATGCACCAATAGTTGTGTAAAGCACTTTGGATGAAAATATATCCTCCAAATGTTTCTACACAGCATGTGGAACACCAATGAAACAAATATTCATTGGTCACACATCTTCTAAACACTGTTTATCATCTTACTATCCATTTGTTGAAGCAGAAACACTTTAGAAAGCATGAATATAAAAATAGTTCATTCTGTAACGACTGCAGCAAATTGATTTTACACTTTCAGCTCACATACAAGCAAACACATTATAAAATAAATAAATTGGACTAACTGTGAGTAAGTAAATGAAGAAAAACTTGTAAATTACTCAATAACCTCTATGTTATTATGAAATTCTATGTCATAGGTTTTAGCCACGCTGGAAAATGGTCCACCACTTTTTTCAAATTTTCTCCAGATGGCTTGATGGATGACTTTGGTGATCTCCTGGCTTTTCATCAAGCACCACCATCTCAAAATGTGCTCTGGTATTTCTCCTGTGACACTGGGTCTATACATGCACCAATAGTTGTGTAAAGCACTTTGGATGAAAATATATCCTCCAAATGTTTCTACACAGCATGTGGAACACCAATGAAACAAATATTCATTGGTCACACATCTTCTAAACACTGTTTATCATCTTACTTTCCATTTGTTGAAGCAGAAACACTTTAGAAAGCATGAATATAAAAATAGTTCATTCTGTAACCACTGCAGCAAATTGATTTTACACTTTCAGCTCACATACAAGCACTCGTGTTATTTACTTCACATAATGGGTCTCAGTATTCTTGTGGAGATGTGTCAGGGCCACACAGTCATTCCTACACATTCTCAACCACTTTCACTTCATACAAGGTTAGCCCCGTATGTATCCGGCAGCCTATCTGCATTCATCACATCTCCATTCACAGGTAATAAGCAACCTGTGAAGCCGCCGGCAGCACGCTGTCACTCTCTACACATGGCCTTAGCCTCCTGTTCCTAACATTTGACTGTGTGCATGTCATTGTGAGATTTGTTCTCTCGTTTTGAACCTGATCTGTCCAGCTTGACAAGATTTGTCTGCAAATGTGAGCCAGTTTTTTAGGTCATGTTTGAAAGCAGGTTTCAGGTGTCAGTTCTGGTTTTCCTCACACTTTCAGTGGTTTGTTGTTGTAGTTTTTTTAATTTGCTTCAAAAAATGAAATAAATGCAACTGAGGCAAAAGGGGATGAGTGTAAGTTCATTTTACTTTCAGCCCTGGCCTTGGAGGACCCAGCACAGCGATTGTGGAAAAGACTGAGTAATCATGGAGACAGATGGAGGGGTGGAGGGAAGATGGGAGCAACAGAGAAAAGGAGGGAGGGAGGACAGGAGGTTTGGATAAGGAAGGAGATGTGTGTCAGAATGGTTCATTGTGTGCAGACTTCATAGGCACAAGGACACCGTCCCCTTCATAAAAACACACACTCAAACACACACACACACACACACACACACACACACACACACACACACACACACACGGAGAAGGCCACATGCAAAATCAATGGAAACAGAAACAAACTGATTGAACAAATGATTATTTTTGTCAACAAAACAACTGTTGTGTCTTTTCTTAAGTGCTAAAATCCTCCAAACAAACAAGAACATTTAATAGTAAAGATGCATAAGGTCACCATTTTCTTCATGTAACAGTCTGTTTGTAAAACAGATGCGAAGAAGAGAAGGCCTTTCCAGTTCATCCAGTCAAGATCCTGTTAATATCCTATTTTCTGCATCCGTGAGCATCCATCTGATCACTCTTATAAGCAGGTTCAGGAGGCAAACTAAGAGAGAGCAGGTCTGGGTCACCAGATTTTTACTGTTACTCTGTCGTCCAAAGTTTCACTCCTACTTTCTTATTCTCCAGCTGCTGTGTCTGCATCTCAAATTGTTCTTTATCCACCAGTCTCATCCCATGTGTGTTTGGAAGCTGTAGTCTTCTATGAAGAGTTCAAGGACACCAGCTGGTGAAAGGATACAGCATGCAGTGGACAGTCTTAAACCTGCAGAAGACAAACGTGATGAATAATAACTTGGGATACTTTATTCTCTATGTTTGATGCAGTGTATATTGTAATCGGGTGGGGTGAAAATACACATGCTCAAATAAACTTGAGTATCATGATATTTTGTTTGGTGATATTGTATTGATTCTCAAAAACACTGTATCGATTTTTGTGTTTAAACTCCCAACTGCAAGTGCTGTGATAAATACAAATGCACAGCCCACTGTTCTGGTTGCATAAAGAAAATATATGGAATTGTAACCCCCTGTATCATGATATGTATCGTATTGCCTGATTCTTGCCAATGCACACCTATAAATACTAATATATTTGTTTGTATATTTCTTTAATACAGTGATCGGGAAATGGGGGCCTGTGGAACCAAAAGCTTAAGTTTCCCCTTTTATAGTTTGCATCAAAACTTCAATATGTTTTTTCACAAACATATTGTAGATAATAATGTAAAATGGCTTTATTTTCTAATGTCATCAGTCTTGACTTCATAGCAACTAATAATTATTGTCAATAAGTTGCGTCTCAAAAACAAACAGGTGGCAGTCGAACAGAAATTACATGTTGAGATATTTTTTCTAAGGTGACAACAACAGTACGTCAACCATAAATGAAGCAGGTCACTGTTTACTGACTGTTGATAACGAATAAATTACATCTCCAGTCTGCAACACAGGGCGTAGATATGAGTCATTTTTGCTGTAACTGTTAGTCCAAGTTGACTGATGGAGAAAAATAACACCTGTTCCCACATACAGCCCTTATGAACCTCTTTTATTTCTGAAAGAAATAAAATACTGTAATATTGTACATGCATACAAGGTTAGTTAGTTATGTGAAAATATATTTCATTAAGCTGTAGCTCATTAACTCCCCAAAACAGCAATCAGGAAAGTGCTTTACTGAATTTCTTTTTTTAAATGTCCTGGCAAACACATCTGAAAGTTTCTCAGCATTAATTGTACACATCGATAAACTCAATACATAAAAGTAACAGAAAAGTCCATATATTCTATAGTATACACAGTGAACTGGAGTCTGCCGTGTGTGTGTTACAGGGGACATCAAGTTATCTGTGACTTTGTATTGTCCTCTATCAGCAGCCAGTAGAGACTGCGACAGCCCTGATACAGATGAATCTGCTACTACAAAAAAAGAGAAAGCTAAAAATAGTATCTAATGAAGATGTCATACAGTAATAACAATGTTTATGCTTCTTTATGATTTTTTTACCTCCGGCAAGGAGATTATGTTTTTGCTCCTAAATGATTGTCTCGAATCTCAAAAACTTGTTAAAAGTTTTAAAAGGAAATTTGATGGAAAGTAGGCCATGGACCAAAGAACAAATTATTAGTATTTTTTTATGGATCCTGAAGTTTTTAACAAGGATTTCACGACATTTCACAACGTTTCTGCACTTTTGGCCTTGAGAGAGCCTTTTATGTTATCAAATGTTTTGATACCACCTCTACAAGATATTGTTTTGCACAGTTTTGGTTTGATTTTAATGAACTTTGTAACATTGTGAGATATTCATTTTTTTGGACTGAGTGTTCTTTTTAGATATTAAGTGCTTGCATATACAATATGCAAATGTGTGGTAAACCTTTGCTCACAGGCCAGAAACTCTCATTAACCCCACTTTGTGTTATGGTACAGCACATAACTATTACATCTTGTCCCTCACAAATTGCTGCACTGTGACTGTCCACACAACTTTGTTTTTTCTTTATTTTTTCCTATCATTTATAATGGACTGCATATTTATATGGTAAATGGACCTGTACTTGTATAGCGCCTTTCTAGTCTTCCGACCACTCAAAGTGCTTTTACACTACGTGTCACATTCACCCTTTCACACACAATCACTCAGTGATGGCAAAGTCCATCGAACAGAAACTAACTCATTCATACACATTCATACACCGATGCACGGCATCAGGAGCAATTCGGGGTTCAGTATCTTGCTCAAGGATACTTCGACATGTGGCACCAGGAGCCGGGGATCGAACCCACAACCTTCCGATTAAGGAACGACCCGCTCTGCCTCTGAGCCACAGCCGACAAGATTCATTCTTCCGAACCTGTTCAGCGATGCTAAAATAAGACATGAAAGAAAGGCTCCGTTTAGCAACCCGTCCAACTTTGTTTGTACAGGCAGATAAACCTTTGACCTGCTCCTTTAAGGCTGCCGCGGTGTTGAACATAACTCTGTGCGACACCAGTGGATGGAAACAAATGGAAAGAGCTCACTGAGGAGTGCTTGTGGTGATATGTTCTTACAGCTGGTGATGGCATGGACTGGGAAAGACAAACACATCTGTTGTACCGTTGTGTTACATCAAATTGCTTTTATCTCTGACTGGAACAGAAAACAAGATGAACTGGAGCTACAGGGGAGTCACGTCTTCAGGTCGGTTCATCTGAGCAGCAAAACGAGTGCTGGGGATTTCTAAAAGCAAAGTAACCCGTAGTAAACAGGCAAGATGAACTATTCATGTCATCAGTCATGAATATTTATTAATATTATAGACTTGTGCCAAATCTTTGATTTCTCGATTACAGGTTTATATGTGTTTATTTCCACATTTGGACATTCAAGATTTGGAACAAAGTAGCATCTAATTATTATTTTTTGTTACTGTACCACTCGTAACAACATGATCTCCAGTGATATTAAATAGAGCAGTGTTTCTCAAACTCTTGGTCTGCACTTCTAGTTCCTGTTGGAGCCCCGATTGCAGTGTTTTCACACCATCAATTTTACCACTGCTTACTATCTTGTGCTCACATTTTAGCTTCAACTAACCATGCATGTATGCGTGTGCTACCTGCATGAACGAGACTAAGTAGCAGTGTCATATTGACACCAAATATTACAGTAAAGTTTATTTTAGGTGGCATTCAAGCTACCTTATAGTTTAAGTATTGTCCTTTGAAGGTTTGTAGTATTTTAATAGTATTTAAAAGTGTTTCCAAAATTCGTCCATGTATCTCTAGAGGCAGCCTGGATACCACCAGTGGAACATGTACCATGAGAACCAGTGAAATAGAGTGTAATCATGGTTCCACATCAGAAGTTATAGACAGTTTAACAATTCACAGAAATTGCCCGTGCTTGTTTCACATGCTAGGATGCAGGTCTTAATATGTATGAAACCTATATCACTGACTGAAGGTTGACTAGTTATCAAACAAACCACACAAGACAGTGTGGACGAAGATATGTTGCTCATATGTCCTCATTCGTGCATTAACAGAGGCAGAGACAAACCTGGAGGGGTCTTCCTCCTTAGAGAATCTTCCTTTCACTTCAATGCTGTTCATCTTGTTCTCAAACATCCCATAGCTCAGAGTCACCTGCAGTGGAAACACACATACACACACAACCGTTAGAAGAACTTCATGCATCTCTGTGTGTATGTGTGTGTGTGTGTGTGTGTGTGTGTGTGTGTGTGTGTGTGTGTGTGTGTGTTTGTGTGTGTGTACCTGGTGTGGTATGCTCCTGTGGCTGATGAGCAGCAGGTTTTCCAGGTGGGAGTGGAATAAAGGACAGTGGACCATGGAGATGCCCAGCCTCTTCCCCACGATGAAGCCCACCGTACAGTCGTCAGGGAGACGGATCTTCGCTGACGTTTGCTCGAACCGGGAGCCGCTGAAATACACACATAAAAATCCCACACACAGTTTAATTACTTTAGATTTATATTTGACAAAATACAGATGACTAAAGACTTTTCCATACATTCAACAATTATTATATTATATTATAATATTATTTATCTAGTTGGGGAGAACTTTTCCAAAATAAAAACTATAAAACTGCCCAACTTTCATCCTCAACAGACAATATTGGTGATTTTGCATGTTTTGGACCATTAACTACTTACTGCATGTACTTTATTGCTGACCTTTTCCAAAGAACACCGTAAATGTTTTGATTGATTCCCTACCGTCTAGCCCTGGGCAGCCATTAGTCTCAGTTTTTTGAGAACAGCATAAATACAAACTTGCAAAGACTTGAAACGTACTTTAGATTGGTGATTCATCAATGTGAACATTTAGTCAGCTTTATTTTTTTGGTCAAAGTTATGCTGCTGGTTAATGCAGTTGAAGAATGAGTCTGCACCTCGGATTTATAGTCTCAGCTGCATTAATGAGCAATTATTACATAATTTTGACGAAACAATAAGGGCAATTTTCAAGTCTCTTCAGGTCGAGTTTGCATGCCACCACATTATAGTACATTTTGGAAAACAAAGAGTACGCTAAATGCATTTTTCAGTTAAAGGACCAGTGTGTAGGATTTAGTGGCATCTATTGGTGTAGTTGTAGAATGCAACTCTCTCACATCACCCTCCCCTTCCAAACACAAAGGAGAAACTATGGGGGCAGTAAAATGCACAAAAAATGTTCAACATGGCGGCCTCCATCCGCTGCCTCTGTCTCTGACACCGACTGGACATTTGGTCAATATAAGGACAATGCATCACCTGGCCCAGGGAGACATCTTCTCCGCCAGCCGCCGACTCAGACAGAATCCTGCTCCTCCCGTAGCAAACCAGAACTGCACTTCCCTCTGAGTGATAAAACACACACACATACAGATATTAACACATACATGTACGTGCATACAAAGGGGAACAGGAACAATAGTCCGATCCCTAGTCTTGATCTTGAATCTTCCTCATTCATTTCAATGAGAGCCCTGTTCTACCACAGACTGGGCTAACTAGTGTCCTCTTCCAGAGTGGAAGCTAGTTAGCCCAGCTTGGTAGCTCCCACTTTCTGACTGGAACTCAAACTTCACAAACAGCACAATATAGGTCGAGGCAGCTGCATAAGAACATGCGATCATCCAGCCCTGATTTGATACATTGTCGACCCCGAGTATTCAGCAGACATTGCACGTTATATACCATCACATCACTCACTTATAATTTCCTTCATTTGCAGTCTTTCTTTTCCCATTATCTTGTTGTTTGTGCCTCCTTCCCATTCCTCCTCCTCCATTTGATTTCTTTCTAATGCTTTTCATTCTTACAGATCTTTATCTGCTACTTCCTTCCTTTTTTGTGTTTAAGCCCATTCATTTCCTAGGTCCTTTCAAATGTTGACTGTTATAAATTCTATTATAACTATTCATTGTTATAACAGTACAAAACCAACGCTATGTGGGTTCTTTGAAAAGGAATGTTGCCATGGGAATCACCCACCAAGAGGATTGAGGCTTAGATGCAGTTTTGCATGCATTTAAATGTGTCCAAAAACCTCTTCTGTAAATTCCGAATAGCTTTTGTATCATCATAGTTGATATAGTCAAATAAATGCTGAATTCAGTTTGCCTGACTTTTAAGTAAAGAGCTTTTACCTTTAACTTCATTCCTGAAAAGGGTTTGTCTGCTCCCTTTGTCCTGTTTAACCCTCACACACATAGAGACGCACACCAGCAGACACACAAACACACATCTACAGTATAATGAGCCACTATTTTCATACAGAAATAAAGAAACATATCCTTAAAACTCAAAATACTCAAAGTCTGTTTTTACTAACCCACACCCATAGAAATAGTAAGAATATCTGGCAAACTGATGCAGCATCTTTCCCTGTGACAGACAAACATTGTCAGTAATAGATTAAAAAATACAGAGGAGAAAAGTGGCTCTTTCAGTGACCCTAATAATAAAGTGTAATACTTCTCTTCCCCTCTCCTCTCAGGTTTACCTTCAGACTTGTATTGATTGTTCAGTCTTTTCCAAACCAGCCTGATATGAATTGCGTGTTTTTATCTGCTAACTCTCTGCCATTTCTCAAGCTGCTATGTTTTCTTTTTATTTCCTGCAAGATAAACTGTTGAGGTGATATTTTATAGGGGGAATGTATCGTGATTTGTTTGTGCGTTAGTCATAGGAGTGAGATTAGGAGTTTAGAGCAGGCAGTAATTACAGAACAGACGAGTAGACTTTTTTTCTTTCTTTTACTTTCCTTTGACTATGCTGTATTCCTTCTGCCTTAATTTCCTTCCCTTTTGTCTCTAATTATTCTGTTCAAACATTTTCTTCAGTGTTGGTCTTTCTTTCAATTACTTATTTGATTGTCTTTTCTCCTTTTCCTTCCTTTCCTTTTGTTATCCTTGCATTTACTTCTCTATGTTTTCTGTCTCTTCGCTGTGTTTTCCTTTTTTTTCCCCTACTTGTATTTCAGTTCCTTTTTTCCCTTTCTTTTCCCTTTTCTTCTTCAATGATGGTATGTATCATTTAATGTCATGGTAACAGTATATATCACGATATAGTAGTTGTTCTACAAATTCAAAGTTCTGTAAATGGTTTAAAATACCCAAACCGTACTTCCAGGCCGGGTACCGGGATAAAGTGACTGAGGGGGAATATAATGTATATTTACCATGCAGTAGTGTCAGAAAGGCTAAATAACAACAAAATAGGGCTACTGTTTCAAAATCAAAGAATACATTTATTCATCATTGACCGTCCATTCACTTCCCGCCGTTTCCCTTCTGTCTGTGGATTCCTGTGGAAATGAAATTTGGGTTGAAAGCTCGGTTTACAGCCACCTAAAGCGAGCAGACGTTGAAACCAAACTAAGTGGCCGCGTTCTGTCTGTCTGTCTCTCTGTCTGCCTCAGGACCACAGTGCCAGACAGCGCAACCATATAGTCACATGTATCTCTGCAAGTAATTTTGTTGTTTTTCCTACTTTTACAGACCCATGAAGCTTAAACAGAGGGGGCAAAAAATAAAATTGAGGGCCACCTTAAGACCCCACGTGGCTCAGAGCCTGTGTATCACATTTGATTATTTTCTTCTTTTATTTCTTTTTTATTAACTTCCATACAAACAAAACTGCCTCTCATTCTTCTCCCTCATCTTGGGCTGGTTGGGATGCCTTCAGCCAGCTTAGCGATCATGTGATGATCCAGCTCTGATTTGATACATTGTCTACCCCGAATACAGCGGACACACTGCACGTTATACACCATCACATCACCAAACCTTATCCCTTTCTGTCCTCCTTTTCTTCCCATTCCTTTTCTTAACATTTCCTTTCCTCGCGTTCTTTCTTTTTCCATTATCTTGTTGTTTGTTCATTCATTCTCCTCCATTTGATTTCTTTCTTATCTATATTTACAGATCTTTATCTGCTACTTCCTTCCTTTTTGTGTTAAAGGCCATTCATTTCCTTTCCTTAAATTTCCTTTCCTCCCTGTCATTTCTCCCTTTTCATACCACTGCATTTCCTTTGACTCTTTCTCTTTCCTTTCCTGTTCTTTCCATTCCTTCGCTGTCTTTTCCTCCTTCCCTCTCTTATCCCCCTCTCAGCCTCACAATAGTGACAGGAAATCGAAAAATGTAAGAAAAAGAGATGAGGAGACAGAGAGGAGCCTGACATGCGTTTTTGTTTTCTCCTTCACCAATCCAATCTCAGCAAAGGATGGAGAAAAAAATAGAAGGGAAAAGAGAAAGAGAAAAGTAAGAGCAATTGGAACAGAAGGAAGAAGGAAGGGAAGACTGAGAAAAAGAGTTAGGAGGCAAAGATAAATAAAGATCTATTTTCTAGTGTAAATGGGTGCAATCAGATGGCAGAATGTGACACGAGGGAGACGGAGAGAGTAATTTCAAGGAATGAGAGAGAGAGATTGAAAAGTGCAGGGAGAGGAGGGAGGGGGAGACATGCTATTCAGAGAGCTTGCTGGAATCAGGATGCACTTTAACTCAATAGGAGCATTAATTCTACTGTAAAGCATGTGAACTCAATGAGACACACACACACACACACACACCTGTGCAGTTTGACAACCCCCTTCCCCCAGGGAGTCTTCCTTATTAGTGTGTGTGTGTGTGTGTGTGTGTGTGTGTGTGTGTGTGCGTGTGCGTGTGCGTGTGTGTGCGTGTGCGTGCGTGTGTGTGTGTGTGTTTTACCACCAATCAATATCCCAATATCCCAACAAAATACTAATCACTCATTGATTCCCTTGGGTTAAAATGTGAACAAAAGCCCCAGAGCTAAATCTTTCTCGTACTTCCATCTAAACATACATACATACATCCCTGGCTGCAACCTCCCCTCAGGTCCCTTCAGCGGTGATGGGAGTCAAAATGGAAAGTGTAAGTTTAGACTGGGAGAGCATGGATTTTGAATGGCACTGGTTAATTTGCTTGGCTGCATTTTTGGCACAAAACCAATAAAAGGAAACTGTCTTTTACAGTTCATTAGTGTCCTTGGAGGAGCATTAAAGCAGCGCATTAAAAAGACGGGAAAGAGAAAAGGAAGGAAGGAAAAATGTTTGGATAGACAGAGGTGGGAAAGAAGGAAAAAAGGAAGGAAACAACAGACAGACAAACAAACAGATCGATTTCAATTGTTTTCCCAATGTGGGTCTCATTTTGGTAGTTCTGGCCATCATTGTTATCAGATATGATAACATTTGTGTAAACTGTACGGAGACATGATAGCACTAACTATTCAGAATTCCAACATGTAATTTAATTCACAACAAAAGCACAATTTGTTCAATCATGTGACTTATATAAAAGGTTAAAGGTCCAGTGTGAAGGATTCTGTGGCATCAAGCGGTGTAGTTGCAGATTGCGACTCAATTGTTTTTGTTTTTTCCATTTCGACTACTGTAGTACTGTTCAACATCCTCCATGGTGTCTGTAGATACAAACGGCCTGTTTTGAGGTAACGATAACATAATTATTCTTATTTTTAGGTGATAATGAAAACATAGCTATGAATAACCAAGTAGTTTTGGTGCCTAAACCTAACCAAACTGTAACCGTATCAGAATGTTACCTACGTGTTTAACGTGATTTATGTAACAGGACTTATGTAATTTACAGTATGTCTGTCACTGCTACTCTCCACCAGACATATATGTCATTTCACCATTTCACCAACAGGTGATGGTTACAATTATTTCTGAACTTGTCAATTGAAAATGTTCTTTGACCTCTGACCTAACACACTTGAAAGATAATGCTGGATATTTCACGTACAACCACGTAAAACCTCACACAAATCGCTTGTGCACGCTAAAATTGTGTCTATGAAAATACATCAAAAAGAATTTTAGAGGAAAAATAGAGGGATGTGTAGCAGTGAGTGGCAGCAGTTAACCTGCCCACAGGCTACAGGGAACGACTTTTATTTGGTTTGAGAGTTTATTCATTTCCACGGTGCAGCATCAGGGAATAGCAAAGAAGAAAAAAGGGAAGGAAGAATGCAAACACACAACTAAGCAATAGATAGAGAAAAGTAGCAACAGAGGAATTCATGAGAATCAATGAGTGAATATCATTGCAGATCTGTCTAGGTGGGATAGGAGAAAATAAGAGTCAGTGAAGAGAAGGAAGGAAAGAATAAATGAATTCAAGAGGGGAAAGAGGTAAAGAGGTAAAGAACCGCAGGAGGCAGGACAGCAAGAAAAAATAAATCTGTGGAGTTATGTTAAAGACAGTAATGCATCACAGAGGGGTCACCCTGCCTTAAGGAGTTATCGGTCCATATAAATTAAATTCTGTCAGGGGAGCTTTAGTGTCCTGTGGTGTAAATGCTGTTTCCAGTCCTGCCAAGAGAAAATGCTCTAGGGAAACTTGAGAACATGGGTTTTTTCTGCACGTTTGAACTGTTGAATACCATCAAAAATAGTTTTTGAAACAGTGACTCACCAATCCCTGATCTTTAAAAATGCAGTGTGAAATATGAATCTGAAGTCATGTGTCTGTATGAGAAGATCTTTTTTCACTGAATTACCATCACCACATATAAAACATGTAGTGCTTTTTATAATATGCAGCAATGATTCACCATGTATGATGTCCTTACCACCTTTCTCCTGTCTGTAAGTTGTGCTGAAAATTATACTATGACCAAAACATTCGCTTTTTTTATGTTTTTGTTAATGTGCAGGCATTTTATCCTATTAGATGAGATGTAAAAACATGCCATTCTAAAAATCCCACATTGAAGTGTTTCACATTAGTGTTTGTTTGTTTAATACGAGAGTAACAAGGGAAATCTAAAACGTCCTGTGTAAGTTAAAGGACCAGCATGTAGGAATTTAGTGGCATCTAGCGGTGAAGTTGCAAATTGCAACCAAATGAATATCGCTCGCCTTCCAAGTGCGTAGAAGAAACTACAGTGGCTGCGAAACTCACAAAAAAGCTCCTATCAGCTCCTAGCCAGTGTTTGGCTTATCTGTTCTGTTCGAACGTAAAAACATGGCAGTTCAACATAGATATACCGGCTCATTCTAGGGTAACAAAAACATGATTCTTATTTTCAGATGGTTATACACTAATGAAAACATACCTATGACTATTATATTCCTGGCAATAGATCCTCCTAAATGTTACACACTGGACCTTTAACTTTAACAAACTCTGGGTAATAGTACCGTTGCATTTCCCTCCAGCAGTTCGTGAGCAGTGATGGGCTTGTTCAGGCTCGGTTTGCCCACGTAAATGTCGCTGTCCTTGGGGAAGGCCGAGAGCAGGGAGAGGAGGGCATCCGGGTTCACGTAGTTATCATCGTCCACATGACAAAACCACCTGAGGAGCCACAGAGGGGAGAACAGACTTAAGATGCAGTTGGATTTTATGCTCTGGGTTTCTCTGCTCCTCTCCATTCCTCCTGCTGATGTCTGCAGCCGGGCGGAACAGAGATTTCAACGGTAATTTTCCTCCTTGTTGTTTTCATTCTTGCACAAAATAAATCCAACTAAACTCCCCAAGACTTGGGAATTGCCTGAACTGCACAAGATGATGCATCATATCAACATTAACATTTTTGTTTTTGTTTTTCCAAGTCAAACGTTTCTGGTTCTGATCATTTTAGCTTTTGAGTGGGAGTTGGGTGTTTTTCTATCAGTGCATCCATTTTGTTACACAGAATTATCTTATGCTGACACGAAGAAATTAAAGTCTCCCACCATCAAAACAATGTTGCCTTTATTTGTGATCAAACATTCTAAATTCAAGGTTTATGGGCGATATATGGCCAAAAAAAACAACATGTTGGAGCAGATTCACAATTTTTTTCTTTTTCTTTTCCTACGTCCCTTTTTAGGACCTCATGTGCAAAACAGTTGAGCATTAACAATAAAAAACCTGCACCCCCTGCAAGGCTGTCTTCATTCATGCACATTAACAACACAGGTTATCCCACATAGCTTTGGACTGTCAGAACCAGATGCTTCCTCTAAGAGAACAGACATCCACTTTCATTATCAATTTCAGCAGAGATGGAGCAGAAAAGTCTGCACACCAATTACTCTCCTGCTGTTAGTGTTTTCTGATGAGACCTTCATCTGGTATCTGCAGACTAGTGTTAACAGGTAGGGACAGACTGAAGTTGTAGTAGAAGTAGAATCCACACTCTGCTCTGTCAATTCCTGTCCCTTCAGCTATCGTAACGAACAAACACACACTCAAAACTCAGCGAATCTTATTTGAGTCTATACGCCTCCTAAATGCAACTGTTAAATTCCTTAATTGGAAGCATGGATGTACTAAGGAGACAAAAGACACCTGGAGTCACAACAGCTGTGCATACAGTGTAACTATTCAAGTCACAGTGTATGGGACTGCAGTGATTCCAGATATTGAATGTAGCCAGCTCGCATCTGCGTTACTTTTAGACAGTGCATGTTGAACGTTTCATGATGTAGACATTTACACATCCTACAAAAACATGATTCTGTTCTGAAATGATTCTAATTTATTTATTATATTATCCAGCCCATTATATCCATGGGGCTTTTTTCCTATCTTTAGTCCAGAGCGTGGTTTCTCAATTTTAGAGCACAATTCATTGATTTCAGGAGCGATCTGAGAGCAGACGTTTCACTGGCGCACAGTAGAAGCCTGAGTGCAAGGATAAGGGCTTAAGCTGCGGCGCGGGAAATCTGAGCAAGCCACCATATTTGGGAGTGCAAACATACAATTTGAGCAGAAGTAGAGAGAGTCTAAGTGCAAGCAGCTGAGTGCAGGGGCAGGGTTTGGAAGGAAAGTATTCGTAATCAGAAAGGGAAATCAATGCTCTCAAATTGAAAGACCACTCTTGAATGAAGATAGAAAATAAGCCCCATAGGGATACAGAAAAAGTTCTGAAAAAAGCTTATAAGTCAGAGAATATTTTATCATGCTGTTCTTAGTCCCAAATAAAAGCCTTTTTCTTTTCCAAAATAGACTTTAACATTTCAATTCATCTAAAAATGAAAAACTGCACTTCTGTCTTCTGACCAGCTTTCCTTTTGTTTTCATAGCATGAATTACACTGTATTACTCTGGAGAGGATCAAGTTGTTTGATTTTACTTGCCACCTTAATGACAGGAAAGGATGTCAAAGCCTCTTTCCAAAACTAACAGACTCTTACTGCAACATTAGAGTCCAAATTACAAAGCTGCTGGTACCAAACTGAAGTGCTGTCTTGTTTCCTCTGCCATCCTAATGGCTGCCCAACAACACAAAAGGCTTCCGTCCAAACCAAACAGCCTCACTTCCCTCTTCAGTCCAAATACCAAAATGGGCCCTGGAACCCAACTGAAATGCTCTGTCATTTTCTCTGCCATCTCAGTAACAAGACAGCAGTCGAAGTGTTAGTCACACACCAAACACAAACTGTTGAGCTTCATTGTATTTTCCAAAAATCAAAAATATGACCGAATATCAGCAACACATTGTCCAGTATACTGTAATGCAGCCTCAGTCAGGGTCGTTAGTGAAGTAAAGCCCTCACACTGTGTTATCTTATGTATGACGTGGCTGCTTTCATGTTTGAATGATTGCTATGGATATGATTTAAGCTATTACCAATTAAAGCCAATAATTGTACATTTTGCTTTTCCTTTTAAAATATCTTTAATATTTATAGCATAAGGAACATTTGTTTGGAGTTAATGGGCGATGAGCCGTCATAGATGATGCAATGGCTGAATAGAAATGAACCAAACTATTCCCACACTGTTTGACTGACCGGTGACCTCTGGGAAATACTGTGCATGCAGAAATTCAATTAGTGCAATTAGTGTTCACCAAGAAAGATGATGAAAATAAATAAAGTTCAAAGGGTATCCTCTGTAATAATTCTGACTGTAATAACCTGTGCTTATGCTTTTGTAACCGTAGAAGATTATTTACTTTGATTTCTCCTTTCACTACTTGCTGCTGTAACATGCATTTCCCCACGGTGATCATTAAAGTTGGTAATCTAAATCCGATCTTTAAATCCAGTGCGTGCAAGACGATAGACGGGCTTTAATCTGTCTCACCTCTTGTCTGACGCCATGAAGCCATCATACTCAGCAGACATCTTGCAGGACAGAGCCTGCTGGCTGTGATCTGACTGACAACCTGTTACCACCATGTTAAGACCTGTGGAGAGAGCGAGTGAGAAACAGTGTATGTACTTTTGTGCAGCACGTGTTTTAACCAAATAAGGAATAGGCTCATTACAATCAGTGTGTAAAATGGGTTTATTTGCATGTGAGACAGAACCTGGGAAGGAAGATGGAGAGAGCGCTTACCTTCTGAACTTAAGTCCTCATCCTCCGTGTCTGTGAAAATGAACGTCTAGACAAAGAAAAAAAACAGTAAAACAATGAGAGAGAATTATTTAAACACAACAGCTTTTATTGTATCCTCCTCATCACATCTTTACCAGTACGTCCTAAAAGCACCTTTATTAGGAGTGACCACACAGACTCATGCACACAGGATCAATATCGTTTTGAATGGAGCAAATTCGACATGACTAGATCAAGGTTCCCCACTGTGAGCTAAAGAAATTAGTCATCTCACCAAGACGCAGAACACACACACACACACACACACACACACACACACACACACACAAGCAATACACAGTTATGATCAAAAGTGGTCAGAGGGGCACTGTATGGTCGAGTCTGTTTGTTCATCGGCAGATATATGAGTCAAATAAGTCTCCAATCACACAAACACCTTGGTGTTACTATTGTCAAAGCCTGTTCTCACAGTCATTTAACCAGATAGATAGATAGATAGATAGATAGATAGATAGATAGATAGATAGATAGATAGATAGATAGATAGATAGATAGATAGATAGATAGATAGATAGATAGATCTGTAGTACAGCACTGTCCTCTGGTGGTTTGAAATTGTAAAAGCACTCAACCGTTGAAGTTTCCAGGCATATAAAATTTTACTTAACTCTTTTTGGAGGAACTCTGATATAATCTAAACTGTATCAGAATTAAAAAGAAGTTATAAAATTTATTTTGACCTGTTAGTTTGTAAGGCTGTTCTGAAAAAAATATTTTAAAATCAAGTAATAACAATTGGCATATACTTGTCATTATCTTTGTCTATCTAAAGCCATAAGAAAAGTGCTTGCCATCTAACTGGTTTTATTGATATTTTCAACAGAATCCAATTCAATTATATTCAAATCTCTTTAATAATTTCTCAAGGCATGCATTTACAAATACTCATAAAGAACTTATTCACAGACAATATTAATCTGAAGATATAATGTAGGAAAATTGTTTTTAAGTAGATTCAAATGTAACTTTTCCCTGGAAAGATTTATCATATTATTGACTCATGCAGGATTATTCCTGATTCCTGTGCCACTTTCATCTAGCAGGTACTTCACTCAAAAGATAAAAATCTGTATGGTAATGAGTCACCGAGGTTTGTACCAGGGGATTTGAACATGGCAACCCTTGCGTCACACTCCATCTCCGCAGCCCCTCAGGCTGAACCGTGCGGTGTGTTCAACTTTCTTTGCCAGGCGGGCACTAAATAACCTCCGAGTGGGACAAATCACCCGTTAGATGAGATAAACACAAACCATAACTCATGTTTTATTCAACTCCTGGAAATGTCTTGCTGCGTGTTGGCTGGAATACAAGCATACTAACATTTTTCAAGCGTACTTTTTAAAGCATTTTAGATGAGCTCTGTCAAAGTGACAGCAGCATATGGGCCTATATCATTTTGACATTAGATACAAAGAGTTACAGGAAAAAAGAAAACAACGGAGCAAAGAAGGGATAAAAAATGGGTCTTACATATGACCTCAACTGTCTTAGATTGTAAATACTAGAATGTGAATACAGATAAGTTCCAGCTTTTGCTGTTTTTGCTCTTAAGTCACACACAACTACTGACCAGTTTCCAGAATCAATATGAAGAGGAAAAGTTTTTGTGTCAATTACATTACCTTCAGGAATTTAAACATATCCATCAGAATGCTATTTTATGCTCACAAACCAATCTCGAAAGAAAGGGCAGATATATATATATATATATATATATAGAATACAGACTGATAACACGTTATTCTGTGATTGGCTATATTCAAATTCACAACTATTGATCACTCAGAAAGTTAGAGTCAGCAGTTGTCTTCTCCGGCCATGGCTTTTTTTTAAAAAGCTCTTTTTTTTCACATAAACATTACCAAAGCACTTTAAAATGATGGTTTGGGGGTGTGAAAAAACGTAGGAGTGGAGAGGAGGTGAAACAGAAAATAAAAAGAAAACCATGTGGAAAAGTTTGCAAAAGTTACATAGAAATACTCAAATCAAAAGCACGAGGAAGAAGTATACATAACAGCATTATTAGTGCTTTTAGTGCATCAGAATTCTGAGTGACAAAATAAAATGAGCGAAGTATCAATATAATTTAAAAGCTTGTGAAAAGAATTTATATATAGTGACTTACAAATGACAGTGTAGGCGAGAGATGTGACTTAACCCAGGCAGAAGTGTGTGTATGTGTGGGCGTGTTTTAAAAAGATAAAGATAGTAAAAGATGAGATAGTTGGGTTAGAGTGTGAAGCAATCAGGGTGTGAAACTGAATTTCCCACCATAGAGACACAGTGAATGTATGATATGTGTGTCAGTTTACACGTGTCTGTCAGTATGTGTGTGTGTGTGTGTGTGTGTGTGTATGTGTGTGTGTGTGTGTGTGTGTGTGTGTGTGTGTGTGTGTGTGTGTGTGTGTGTGTGTGTGTGTGTGTGTGTGCGTGTGTGTGTGTGTGTGTGTGTGTGTGTGTGTGTGTGTGTGTGTGTGTGTGTGTGTGTGTGTGTGTGTGTGTGTGCATGTACAGCATGAATAAGAGACACACAGTGAGAGAGAAGCTTTCCAGACTGCCTGACAGGCAGCTCCAGCTAATGACTATAATCCCTGTATTACAGATTAGAAAAATATCATCCAGGGATACCTTTTTAAAAAGCCAGTGGTCCATTGCTTTATATGGCTTTATACAGCAATATTTCTGATTTTATAAACTCTTTAGGGTCAAAGAGATCAGAAAGAATCCCGTGGACACAGAAGAGAAATGTTGTTCTACCGCCATCCAGTAGAGGGCGACAGAACTACTGTTTCATCCAGATGTGTATGTGTTCTATCTTTGTGAGGCTTTGAGATTTGGATCTTGAGAAGGAGGCCTCACTTCTTCAAAGGGCTGTTTAGACTTTAGATGTAGAAGTTTTGGAGTAAAAGTTATCATTCAGTTTTCCTTTTATGGGGACAAGTTCACACACTCACATTGTGGGGTCTTCCTGTCCAAACCAGGACAAAAAAAACATGTCCCCACAATCTTAATCATTAATGTTAGGATTAGTACTTGGCTTTATGTTTCAGTTTTGGTTAAGTTTGACAATTACATTTTAAATGTAATTTATTTTTCTTGCAAGGATTTCAACCACGTCTTCATCAGAGGATGGGTCATTGCTCAGTTGTCATCATCAGTACGTGGCAAGTTACTTGAATAAATGTAATCAATTGTAATGTAATAACACATTACTAATTGCTTAACAGCAAAAATAATTAGTTACATTACCCATTTCTTCACTCTTGTTACTAAGAACATGTTAATCAAACTTGCCTATAAAATCCCACTTGTACGAGAAGGAAATAAAAAACAAGACGTGATTTAACAAACAGCCAGCTTCTGTTTTGGAGATATTTGCCATCAACTTAGCTTAGACCCATTGACTGCACGCAGCCAGGGGAGTTGCATTCCTCCTCTTTTATTAGGGGCTAACCACCTCTCAAGTTTCTGCACCATACCACTGAACACCGAAAGCCCAAACGGATACCAAACTATCCATCAAACGCCTGGTGAGACTGCAAATAAGCGGACCAACAACAAATGGTCAAATTAACAGAGAATTACTGGGATAAGATACTGCTAATTCAACTGTAATACCGCCCAACATCGCTCATCATGTGACCCATGTGATGTAATTATGGCACAGGTGGTGATTAAGGAAGTGGATGAAAGTTTTACTACCAATCCCAGTTCATCCATCATCCATCATCCTCTCTGCAGTGACATCACACGGCACCTTCAATTCAGTTATTAGAATATCAAATATATATGTTATATGAATATATATGATCTTATATATTTATATATATAAATATATAAGATCGTATAAGAGCTTCCCTCACTCACTTCTTCCCCCAAAGGCCCTTTTTTTATGTTTGTCCATCCCTCCCTCTCATCCCTCCATCACTGGAGCAGGAAGAGGAGGAGGAGTAATGAGACACCTGGGTCAATCCACCTCATCACTATCACCAAGACAACCTGCGCTACTGCTATCTACCCATTAAAACCCCATGATAAAGGGCCACCATCACATTTAGTTTCCACTCTGGTCATAACTCAATCTAAACTACCTGCACTGGAATCAGTCAACCTGAGCTGAGGAACACAAATGGCAGACTATCAACATGGAGCGGATCATAAACAGAGTTCGAGAGGACATTTTACTGAGGTCAGCCAGACATGCATAAATCCCAGCTTGTTTTTCACGCTGTTAGATTTGTACTGCCCCATAGCACAAAATGAATGCATTATATCTCGATAAGGTTTCTGGTCAATACTTCAGAGAATCTGGATTTTAAATCTGGCATTTGGATTGTCATTAATGTTCCACTGGAGCATTGTGAGGTGCCTCAAGGGAACTTTGATGAAAGTAATTATTATTTTATTATTATTTCATCACTTCATCCATGTAGATTCATCCAGTTACTTAGGTGATTCAACCCAATTTTATTTACATTGTATTAATATCTAAATATCTTCGTTTTAACATTAAAATATATAGAAGTGTCAGAGTTTTACAAAGTTTTACAGGAATAGTTGGGAAATGGGAAATATGCTTACTTGCTTTCCTTCCTAGATTCAGATGAGAAAATCGATACCCCTCTCACTTCTACAGGTTAAGTGCGCAGGTGGAGCCAGAAGGCAATTAGCCTAGCTTAGCATAAAGACACAAGGGGAAACAGCTAGCCTGATTTCTCATAAGAGACTTATAACTGGGGGCTTCCCTCCAAAGTCACTTACCAACACTTCAAACTTTAAACTGACAAGTGTTGACACAAGCTTTTCAACTCACGATGAGCTTTCACACCCAATAAATGCCTCACCAGTGTCGCTCCTTTGAGGCCACACACTGCAACCCTTCAACAATAATGTCTAACAACGTTTCATAAGACAACACCAGGACAGCAATAACACTGAATACCAACCGCCAGATCAGGCTATGTTGTTAACAAGAGATTACAATATAGAATACATTATAGAGTACAGTGGTTCCCAGATGATTCATTCAAATCAAGCCCCTAGGAAGAGAGCCGGGCTTTGAAGAAAATCTGACATAGTGGCCGAACCGTGTAATTAGACCAATGGCATTGTCACGTGATGCACACCGGCCCAAATTTTATTTATTTAATTAGGTCTACAATCCCATCAACCTCAGCTGTACTTTGTGTTCTATGCTAATCAGAAAATGTTACTAAAAGTATTAATGTGTTACTAAGATGGCGAACATGGTAAACATTACACCTGCCTAACATGATCATCATGTCAGCCTTGCAACTGGAAGCTTGTTAGCATGTTGACATTAGCATGTAGCACAAAACACCACTGTGCCTCACAGAGGAAGTGGAGTCTACAGCCATGCAGTTCTCTTATCGTTCTGATGATGGTAGTTAAATAAAATGTAAGTCTTTAGCTTCGCCCACTTACGTCTATCTCCACCAGTAGGATTATTTCTGACCTGGGCGCTGTAGGATGTGACAGAAAATGATTCAGGGGACCTAAAGTTGAGCTGGGGCCCTAGATCATGTCGGGCAATAATAAGTAGGCCTCTATAGTTACTGCTTTAGGTTTTTGTTAGGGCGCAGTCTCTGTCGCAACACTCTTGTTTCCGGCTCTTAGCACATAAGCTATTTAGTTCCAGTAGCTGCTGGTTATAAACGACTTTTCACCCTGTGAAGTGGACAAGGACTTGTGAGATGTGTGTGTGTGATTCTGAGTATGTGTGAATATATGTGTGTATGTGGGAGGAGGTAAATGAGGTTCATTCTGTTCTGCAATCTGCCTCTTCACTTCCTGTTCTATGAGCAGCTTCCGTTTCAGCATTGTTAACAGAGTTGCTACACGGCGGCTGCTTCCCCTCAACCCAGACAACCTGCCTGCACAGCTTCCTGTGTGTGTGTGTGTGTGTGTGTGTGTGCGCATCTTTGTGTGTTCAAGTGCCTAGTATATATATATATATATATATATATATATATATATATATATATTTATATATACCGTATATAGCTTCCTCTTTCACTCATAAAATAATGCCTGTTACTTAAATCAGCACTTTTGAAAAGTCTCTCTGCCCTGGAAAACAGAAAACGAGAAGCCAAAAGATTAACGCTTCCTCTCAAGATCATTGCTCATCTGTTTCGTTTATTTTAAAAAAAAGGAAATGAAGTCTGTTTCATGAACCACAACATGGAACTGGAATTTCACATGTGATGTGTATGTATTTAAATAAAAGTAGGCTATGTGTGCTGAAAACCAAGTCATAAGTTCATTTTAGTGAAATCTCCAACTGTTCCTTACTGAATAAACCCTGCCCTGTGTCTGAGTGTCACTATCATCAACCCTGGAGGTCATCGATTCAGGGCCCATAAAACCAACTCAAAATCCTTTACATGTAATGATCCTGAAGATTAAGGCAGCTTTGATTTTTCCAGACGTGTCGGACAGAGAGAGAACTCTGATTGAGATGAATAAATGTTCCTGGTAAAGTATCACTCATAGATACAATTGGAGGTGGCAAAGTCTGAGAAAACACAGAGAGAGACAGTAAGCCAGAAAACACAAAATTATATTTGACTCTGATTATTAGACACTTTTGCTTTGGCAGTAACTGATTAAGTATTTCATGCAGATAAAGCACCTTTGAATTCAACAAAAATAAAAAAAATAAAGTGCTACTGCTGCCTGAAATTCAGCACTCAAAGGGATCTCTTGTCCAATCTTTCACACAAAAAATGACTACAAAACCTAATCTCAGCTTAACTGGAGTCTATAAACCAAACTAAACCCTTCAACAGTGATGACCTTTTACATTTTTGAGTTTGAAAAATCTATCTATGGCTCTGCAATCCCTAAATGTTACAGATGCAAGTAGAAAATCAGCTGAAGTTATGTTTCTTCACACTGACACCAACGTTTCAACAGGCTGCAAAAAGCTAATTCAGCCCATTTCCACTGTTTCTCTCTGCATGTTGGAATTCAGAAAGTTTTCATCTGTATGTTTTTACACTGTTTTTACATCAGTCGTCAGTAAATTGACCAACCAAATCACCCAGGAACGAAACCTTAATCAGCCAAGTCAATCATGAGACCTGCAGCTTCAAAGCAGGAAGGAAGTGAGTGTTTTCATTTCAACATCACCACAGCACATGATTGATTAAAGGCCAGATGATGGGTCATTTAGTTTCATTGTTTTTAATGAAGTAAATGCATAATATAATACTTTAAATGAGTTGATGATTTCCTTATTAAAACAGTTTCACAGGGCTTGATGTGTGTTTTAGATAAGGTTGAAACTCTGGACCTGTCACTAATTACCACTTTGTGCTCACTTGGATCACAGCAGTCCACTTTGATGACGCAGAAGTGACCAGATCTAATACAGCTTCTGATGGGGGGGGTGGCAACTGTTCTACTGTTTTACAGGTGCAGGGGGCTTTGAATGAAAGCAGCAGGTGTCTGGAATTTGTCTAAAATGTACGAATTTTCAGAGCAGCCTGTAACAGCACAGATACTTACTTGCGCCTTGGTTCTGGAGATCCACGTCTCCAAAAGGAGCGCAAGGCGCGTCTTGTGGAACCTCCCGGTGGTCTTCACAGCGATGAAGATGTCTTCCAGCTTCAGTTTCGGCTGGGTGACATGTGCAACTTCAGAGTCCGGGTGTCCTCCATCCCCGCTGCGACTGGAGCTAGCCGGAGTCTGTGCGTCCTTGGCCGGGGAGGGAGCCTGCTGGATGGAGCGTTGAAGCGCACCGGGTGAAGGATGGTGAGCCACACTGACTTTGGGAAGGCTGCTTGTGCGTAATTGAAAATCCACGTAAAGAATGATGAAGAAGGCGAAAATCAAGACTGGCAGCCTCCGACGTATCCATCTCTTATGCATGGTAGTAAAAAAAAAAAGTTATTTAGATTCCATAAAGCATTAAAACCACGTCCTGGGTCCCCTCATATAAAATCTTCATGTTCATTCGTTTTGGTCTAGTTTCGTGTCGGTTCCTCCATCACCTCTGCGTCTTCCTTCTCTACAACGTTATCATCTGTGTTCCTCATTTGTCAACTCCTTATTCGCATGACTGTAGACTGTTGAACAAAATGTAATAATCCTAGAATGACCCTAATCACTTTTTAGAATTTCGCCTGTTTTAAGTAGGCTACAGCTGCATGGCCAGACTAAGCTCTCATTTTCTGCGTAAAAGCGACAGCCACCACGTTATATTTGACTTTGTCACAGCCGCAGCTCAGCCCACCGGTTGTCACCAGTGTCAAGCAACACGCAATCAAACGTGACTTCCTGGCAAAGATTTCAAAATAACATAGGGAAATATAGTATACTTCCGGTTACAATTCGGTTTTATTTGAGAGTACTAGGTTATACATGGGTCCCATACTATGGGACAAATATATATAAGTTATACATATTATGGTTTCCCAATTATTACATCCAAATAATGATGCAAAAACTGGCATGGCCATTTTCAAAGGGATACCTTGACCTCTAACCTCAAGATATCTGAATGAAAATGAGTTCTATGGGTACAAACCAGTCTCCCATTTGCATACAGGGAGCAGGAGGGGGGCATACAGCAGACAACTTATCATAGCCGACTGAGTCTGGTGTCACCTCTTCACTCAGCCAGAAACAGAAAACCACAGTAAAACACTCCCCCTTCTTCCTGTCTCTTCAGCGATTTCTGTTACGCAGCTTTCTGAGAGGTTAAGCCGTGTCCAAAAACACTGCTCAACTGCTATATATGAACTTTAACAGGCTTCTTTATTCTGGGGATCATTAAAGTTTCATTCTCTGTTGTGCATCACAAAAAAAACCAAGGTGACTCATAATGGTAAACGGTAGGTTTACTGGCAATAAGCTTCATGTCAGCAAACGGTAGACATCATTTGTTTTTTAACAGTGGCCATCTCATCAGGAAAGGAAACTATACGTCAGGCTCCAAACCCACAATAGGCTGAGTTGAATGGCAAAGGTTTCAGAACAGCTTGAACTCTGATGCAACATGAAGAATCATGAGTATATTTTGAGAGCTAAAAAATAATCTACTCTATTTAGGGTCATAGATTACCTTTATCATTCCCCAGTTCACACATATGAATGACAAAGAAAATTTGGACATATTAAAAGAAGGCAAATGTATTATATGTCACAACATGATTGATAATAAAGGTGCCATAAATAAATGAAAAACTCTATCTGATGGATCAATACTGGCGACTGGTGAAGTTTCCTTGAATGAGTCCTCATGGGGAGTACACTTAAAGCATCAGTGTAAAGCTGAACCTCACACCACTCACGCCTTACTGGCTGGGGGTCATTTAAAAGAGGGTTCATCCCCTTAATCATTTCATGACAGTCTGAGATTTTGAAATATCTTGTGTGTACATTTTGCATTTTGGCTTGAGAGTGATGCTCAGGAAGTTTCCAAAATGAAAACCGCTCCATAGATTTCAATGTTCAATGTCAGTCAGTGGTCCAGGCTGAAATATCTTAATAACTAGTGGATATATTGCCATGACATTTTGTGCAGACATCCACAGTCCCCAGTAGACGAATACTACTGACTTTTCCTTTAACACCATCAGAAGGTCGTTTCCATAGTGAAATATCTGAATGGATGGCGGCTTATTTGTACGGATAGTCATGGTTCCCAGAGGATTTATCTGAATGACTTTGGTGATAGTCTGACTTTTCTTCAAGCGCCACCATGAGGTCAAAATCTGAATTCATCCAATACTACTGGTTTATGTATTTGCAAACCCAATGACAGTCAGTCTCAGATTGAGTCTCAGATTTAGCATGCAAACACACTGAAGTAATGTGCTGATAATAAACATACAACATGCCCAAATACAGCCTCACAGAGTTGTGTGGCTTCTTTACCTGTGCTGCATTTACTATTACTCACTGTATGTTTTTTAATGTGTGAATTCATATGTATTTGTTCAAAGTAGATCTAAAGAAAAGCTCAGCAATCATTAGACTTAACAGGAGCCGTGAAGTGTAAGTGTTGTCCAGCTGAGCGACAGGTCTCTCTAAGCTGCTCTAGAAGTCTAATGCTGTATCCACTGTCTACTGTTCCCTGTGCTGCTGTCTCTGGAGACTGTCACCAAAGGGAGAAAGAGCTTGATACAATTAATTCACCTCAGACCCTCATCGCCACCTTTGTTTATTTGTCCTTTCTCAGCGTTCTCGCCTTACATCCATCCCTCCATCCCTCCCCTCCTTTCTCTGGCTCTCTCTCTCCCTCTTCCACTGACCAGCTGCTCTCCTCTTCTCCACCCTCTCCACTACTACCTGTCCCAGGGAGGACCAGCCCACAACACCCCACCCCTCCTGGTCCCGCGGGTAAACCAGAGACGCCCGGGGCACACCCTGGCTAGGAAAGGCCCAGGATCGCCTTACGGCCTAGCTGAAAAGGGCTCTTTCTAAAACAGCAAGAACATCACAGCCCCACTTTGAACAAAAGGGCCAGGGGAGTCGAGGGACCAGACCCCCTTTCAGGGCTTTGTCTGTCCGCCTGCTCTGAGCTCAGAGTCAGACAGAGACTTGGACTGCGCTCAAGAACTGGGATTGGAGAAAGTGAAGGAGTCATAAGATCAAGGGCTGCAGGAGATTTCACTACATTTTAACACCGTCTAATAAGCAGAACTGAACATAAACTTTTAAAAACAGTGTGTTGCTAGAATGGAGTTAAGTCTTTACAGCCCAAGTAAACACTGATTTGACGTCTGCATTAAAACTGGACAAAATTAGCTTGAAAGGATACTTCTTTAAGACATCTAGCTCAGATATAACCATAATTTAAATTTGAATAGCTATGTTTAAGAGTGAGGAAGGTCAATTTCTAAAATATCGAGGATCCTATTTGTAAAAGTGTTATTACTGTGCTCCATTTAAGGAGACATGGAGCACTAATCCAGGGTCCCACTGACAAACTAAACCTCACAGAGGAAACCACTTAACTCCACAGGCAGGTAAAGTGACCTGTGTGTGTGTGTGTGTGTGTGTGTGTGTGTGTGTGTGTGTGTGTGTGTGTGTGTGTGTGTGTGTGTGTGTGTGTGTGTGATATGGCTCAGTCAGAGCATAGCTTAAGTACCTGAAAATCCCCCTCTTAACCTTCAGTCTCCTGCTGAACTGAAATTCAATTCTCAGAGCCCTCACTGAATGACAGAACACATCAGAGAACATTTAACTCGCATAACGTTGATAAGTAATGTTACAAATTAGGCCACTATTTTTTGGCGGGTGGTCACATATATAAAATACACACTGAAGAGGTCGTTCCACATGGCTGCAGTCAGTCTGCAACCTTTTTTTTTAGAAGAGAGGGGATTTTTAGTATCACTCTAAAATGCAGATTTAACAAAAAATTCCTAAAAATGCCTGAGAGGGATATATAATATGATATATATAATATTACTCTCCAAAAGCCTGAGCCTACAGCTTCCCATAATGCAACATGAGTTTCATTACACTTCCTCTGTCTGAGGTGCCCACATCTCTCAATTTTTGTCTCCAAATAAAATATGTAACATTTGTGGTCTCCCTTTATAGCTTTAAGGGGAAATCCACCCTATAGAATAATTTATGTTGTAATATCCCAATAATATTAGGAAGTGGAAGTGAATCCCTCACCTGGAAAATTTCAATATGTATTACTCGTCCATGGAATTACTGGTGATAGCATTTCTGTATCATATGTCTAATCTGAATCCAGCTGTGAATCATAAAATATGTACATATGATAGTAAAATCACCATGTTTATGGATTTAATTACAGAGATTTCATGGGAATTTTGGTTCAGAATAAAAATGTTTAAGGTAGAAATGTATTAAAATGGGCAGCTGTTATCTGGATATGACTGAATGGTGTCCATGCATAAGGGTTTAATATAACTAACCCTAATTTGAAAGACACTGTGGAGCCTTTACTGTACTCTTTATAGCAGCGACAGGTCTGACTTGTGCAATAGGAAATGCTCAGCAGAGGGCGGCATACACTCTTGCAAACTCTCAGTTTCTCTCAACTCTCAATTCTGCAATGTCAGACTGTATGAGTGCTGGAACAGCTTTAAGGCTTTCAACTTTCTATGAACAGCCGGCTTAGTCTTTGATTTGAAGAAAAAAGAATACTGTGTATGAAATATATTCAAGTATTGAAGGATATATTTAAGGAAAGTGATGATCAGGCTGATGAGACATCAAAAATCTGCATTTGTATAAGATACAATACGTTACGATACGATATACCTTACTGTTGCAGGGAAAATTACCCAAATGCTGTGCACATGCAGTAATCTTTATAACTGATGCTGCAGGAAAAGGGTCTCATTTAAAATTGAAAAGCGTCAACGAATGAAGTAAACCTTTTGCTGTACCCTTGGAGTGATGAACAATATCACTGATTTGCATGCGCAGCCCTCAGTGCTCAGTGATCCAGTCAATACAGCTCTTCTCATGCTGGCAAGTAGGACTTGAGTCCCCAAATGCATCGATGAACTGCAGCATGTTGCCACTAGGGGTCCATGTGACCACATTCACAAACAGCACCCATAAGTCAAAGATCACAAGATCAAATTTAGGCAATGATGCACCATTCAATTATCTCCATTAAGTGGCTGTGAGGTATATAACCACCAATTATACAGCTTTTCGTTTTCGATGTTACTCATTTCAGTATGACTCTGTCTCTTTGTTAACCATGACTAAATAAAGTCACTGTTGCTGTCGTGTTTGAGTAATTAAAATATTTTGAATAGATACATTGCATTGGGATTACAGTGAAAGGTTGTAGTAGCTCTTTCTCTGTTTTCTAATCAGATCACAAGATTTCTGCTCTCTGTGTGAGGGTGTCATTTTCAAAGCAATTCAATGTTGCTTTTATATAAATATAAATAATCCTCTGTAATCAGGTGCATGTGATAAAACTGTAGATTTAAGACGTCTATTTAAACATTCATGTAAAGGAAAGAAGTGAAATGAAAGAAGTAACTACCATCAATATAAAAAAAGATCTTTATAAAATACAAAAGTCAGAGATTGTGTCAACCTATAATATACAGTGGGTACGGAAAGTATTCAGACCCCTTTAAATTTTTCACTCTTTGTTTCATTGCAGCCATTTGCTAAAATCAAAAAAGTTCATTTTATTTCTCATTAATGTACACTCAGCACCCCATCTTGACAGAAAAAAACAGAAATGTAGAAATTTTTGCAAATTTATTAAAAAAGAAAAACTGAAATATCACATGGTCATAAGTATTCAGACCCTTTGCTCAGTATTGAGTAGAAGCACCCTTTTGAGCTACTACAGCCATGAGTCTTCTTGGGAATGATGCAACAAGTTTTTCACTCCTGGATTTGGGGATCCTCTGCCATTCTTCCTTGCAGATCCTCTCCAGTTCTGTCAGGTTGGATGGTGAACGTTGGTGGACAGCCATTTTCAGATCTCTCCAGAGATGCTCAATTGGGTTTAGGTCAGGGCTCTGGCTGGGCCAGTCAAGAATGGTCACAGAGTTGTTCCAAAGCCACTCCTTTGTTATTTTAGCTGTGTGCTTAGGGTTATTGTCTTGTTGGAAGGTGAACCTTCGGCCCAGTCTGAGGTCCTGAGCACTCTGGAAGAGATTTTTTTCCAGGATATCTCTGTACTTGGCCGCATTCATCTTTCCTTCAATTGCAACCAGTCGTCCTGTCCCTACAGCTGAAAAACATCCCCATAGCCTGATGCTGCCACCACCATGTTTCACTGTTGGGATTGTATTGGGCAGGTGATGAGCAGTGCCTGGTTTTCTCCACACACCCTAAATTAACGCCCAAAAGTTCAATCTTGGTCTCATCAGACCAGAGAATCTTATTTCTCATAGTCTGGGAGTCCTTCATGTGTTTTTTGGCAAACTCTATGCAGGCTTTCATATGTCTTGCACTGAGGAGAGGCTTCCATCGGGCCACTCTGCCAGAAAGCCCCGACTGGTGCAGGGCTGCAGTGATAGTTGACTTTGTGGAACTTTCTCCCATCTCCCTACTGCATCTCTGGAGCTTAGCCACAGTGATCTTTGGGTTCTTCTTTACCTCTCTCACCAAGGCTCTTCTCCCACGATTGCTCAGTTTGGCTGGACGGCCAGGTCTAGGAAGAGTTCTGGTCGTCCCAAACTTCTTCCATTTAAGGATTATGGAGGCCACTGTGCTCTTAGGAACCTTGAGTGCTGCAGAAATTCTTTTGTAACCTTGGCCAGATCTGTGCCTTGCCACAATTCTGTCTCTGAGCTCCTCGGGCAGTTCCTTCGACCTCATGATTCTCATTTGCTCTGACATGCACTGTGAGCTGTAAGGTCTTATATAGACAGGTGTGTGCCTTTCCTAATCAAGTCCAATCAGTTTAATTAAACACAGCTAGACTCCAATGAAGGAGCAGGACCATCTCAAGGAGGATCAGAAGAAATGGACAGCATGTGAGTTAAATATGAGTGTCACAGCAAAGGGTCTGAATACTTATGACTATGTGATATTTCAGTTTTTCTTTTTTAATAAATTTGCAGAAATTTCTACATTTCTGTTTTTTTCTGTCAAGATGGGGTGCTGAGTGTACATTAATGAGAAATAAAATGAACTTTTTTGATTTTAGCAAATGGCTGCAATGAAACAAAGAGTGAACATTTTAAAGGGGTCTGAATACTTTCCGTACCCACTGTATATATATATAATATATAATCAACCTTAATTTGGTGGGGCAAAGTAATACCAACATCTTACAATATAATAAATACACTTAAAGAAAAGAAGTCGAACTGATAGTTCTTTTCCACATGCAGTCCCAACTGAAACTAAAAGTTTCAGAAACTAACAAAAAGTAGGGATATTTTATCGCTTTCCACAAGTGTCATATAATATACATGTCACAAATGATGACAATGTGAAATGTTTTCATTTTCAGAAGACAGTGTAGCTTCTTCTGCCATAGGATACAGGAATAAAATGAATAAATGAATAAATTTGAATTTAAAAAAAAAGAGGGATTTCACAATTAAATTCTCTCTCCTTTAATACTGTCATCGTCGTTTTTATTAAATTGGTTAATATATGTTTGTATATACCAAAATAAAAAAGGACTGAGGTCAAATTAAGCCTTATTATGTCATATTGTTGTTATTCTTTTATTTTTTTAAATGTCATAAATGACCATTGTACTGGGGGCAGAGGCAGAAATGTCTTGGACAGACATGTGCAGCATCTCTTGGTAAACCTGGACAAATAAACCCCAAACTATATCTGCACGGTTGTGAGATAATACGTTTTTCTGATTTAAGTGAACTGAACCTTTAATTTCTGTCGTTGCCTGTGAGACACAGCTGAGGGTGGAAAACTCGTTTCTCAGACGATGGGATGGATGACACTGCGGAAGGGCTATTCCTGTATCTTGACCCCTCCCCTTCACAACAACACAACGGGAGTCAGGAAAAGCTTCTTCATCAACAACACCGGAGTCAACAGGCGGATCAGAGAGACACCCGAGGACCGAGCAGTTCCCGCCGCAGAGATGGCCCAGGCGAATATCTCGGTGACGGAGAGCCAGTTCAGGTGTCCGGTCTGCCTGGACATCCTGAAGGACCCGGTGTCCACCCCCTGCGGACACACCTACTGCATGTCGTGCATCAACAACTACTGGGACCAGGCGGAATCGGGCCAGTTCAGCTGCCCCCAGTGCCGGGAGACGTTCAGCCCTCGGCCGGTGCTGCGGAGGAACACGGTGCTCGCCGAGGTCGTCGACAAGCTCAAGCTGAGCGAAATGATCACGGCGCCGGAGCTTTACCTGGGGGGACTCGGGGACGTGCCGTGCGACTTCTGCCCCGCGGAGAGCAAGCTGAGGGCGGTTAAGTCGTGCCTGGTTTGCCTGGCGTCCTTCTGCGAGCTCCACGTCCTGCCGCACCGGGATGTTGGCACGCTGCGGCGGCACAAGCTGGTGGCCGCGGTGGAGTGTCTGGCGGAGCGGCTGTGCGCACAGCACCGCCTGGGTCTGGAGCCCGCGGGGGGCGGCTCGGAGGCGGAGGCCGCGGTCGAGTGGAGCGGGGACTGCCTGCTGTGCGAGGCAGACCAGGAGGAAGTGCACAATGTGGACGCCCAGAGAGCCAGGAGACAGGTAAAGACACCCAACTCAGGTTTCATTATTTACTACAAATGTAGGACTGAGAGGCTACTATTGGTTCCCAAAGTCTCTATACTGGAGGGAGGCTCCAAAATCTGACCCTCAGGTCTCTTAAAGTCCATATAGAGGAAAAGGTTCCCAAACTCTTTATAATTGGAAGAATCTCTAAAAATCTCAAATGGCAAAATCTCTGATCAACATGTCTGACATCTAGATCTTCTAGTGGATCACTGGATTGTGATTGTTGATCCATGTGAGTCAACCCAAACTAAATTCCTTAAAAAAAAAAAACAGACATGACCAATAAATGTAATCTAATTGAATTTAATAGATTACAGCCTGCATCATGTCAAACCACATGTCTGCCTACACATGAACAGTTTCTCCCTCTTCCTAAAAAAGGAAAAACAAACTGAATATGAATAATCAGCCAGAAATGACCTGAAACATAAAGCTTCCAGCTATCGGTGTAAGAATAGAGGGGTTGTTAATTGTGGATCAAACAGGTATGAATGCAGTCTGGGCCGACTCATATACAGCTTGTTCTTCATATGTTTCAAACCAGACAAAGTAAAGTGCATCGTGCTGAACTTCAGTTTCAGATTTTTTTCTGATTCCCACAACATTTTGCTCCAGCTGATGATGAGCTTCTGATCCGGTTTTTAGCCCTATAGTTCACATATAGCAAACGGGCATAACAGCAAACAAGCCATAAAGTCAACTTAGCCATTATCGTTTGGTTTGAAGAAGATCTACTGGAGGAGGTGTAATTGCACCTTGACAGGCCAGAAGACAGGAGGGACCTTGTTGTCTTAAAGGTGGTGATTAAATCTCGAGTGCATCGCTCTGTCAGGCCACTTACAGCAGAAATAGGCTGAGGTGATCTCACAAAAAGGGTTAGACTCATATAGTATTGTGTCTTACAGCCTTTTTTCGGGTTGAGGTTTGTCCAGTAAAGTGTCAAAAGGCAAGAGAAGTAAACAGAAGTAGTTGATGAAATAAATAACAAACAATAATCACAGCAGTATTTTTTTAATATGTGCTTATTGTGCTAATATGAACCACAATAGATACCTTAATAGATAAAACACCTATATTGCATAACTGAACCACCACAGCTTTCACCTAATGGGTTTGAAACAAATATCACAGTTTCATGGAATACTGTATTACACAATTATTATTGTTGTTATTATTATCAGGTACAATCACAAGAGAACAGAAGGGTTTTGTGGTTGAACAAACGGTGTATTTTGAGTTTTGTGCAATTATACAAAGAATCAGTGCAAAATATACAAATGTTGGACTCAAACTGTAGTGAGAAGAAAGGTTTTTATCCCGCGTTTAAAGGTGTTCAGTGTAGGGGATTGTAGTGAAAACACCTGACTGTCTCTCTCTCTCTGTCTCACTGCCTAATAATTGTCTGTGTGTCTGTCAGCTTCAGCTTCGGGAGTGTCTGAGGATGATTCAGGGGAGGACACAGAGCGGAGAGAGAGAGTTGGAGGAGTTTCAGCAAAGCTTGGAGTCCCTCAAGGTGATACACGCACACACACACACACACACACACAAAGACCACTCTTCTTCTTCCTTGCTAATCTAACTATTACATAAAGGCATACTCCCTGTTACCATCGGTCTGGAAGCTTCCAAGAACTAATTATTCCCGAGTGTTAAAATACCTGGAATATACCTGGTACATTCATCTTAATTAAAGAAGCAGTAAACATGCCTCTGTCATTGTTTGTTATATAGCACCTTTCATACATACAACGTAGCTCAAAGTGTTTCACATTTAAACAAATAAATTACATATCCGTACATTTCAATAAAAACAAGATTAAAGAGTCTTATGTTTCTTCAAGGAATGAACAGAAGTTGCATGGTGGATATTTATAGACAGGTGATTCCACAGTTTTGGCCAATAGTAAGAGAAGCCACCCTCTCCATTGTCTTTAACCGCTGATACATTTAATGATGCAGTGTTTGATGAGCTAATGCAGCGGTTAGGAGTATAGAGGGAGAGACAGATGGCTGAGTATGGAGGTGCTAAACCATTTCAGAGCCTCATAAACTGGCAATAACATTTGGAAATCAATTCTGAAGGAGACAGTAAACCATGTTTTTTTTTTTTTAATGCATTCTTATTGATGCAGTCAACGCTTAGGTTTAAATCATTGTCTATGAGGACACTGATGACTTTTGTCTCATACTGAGTCTGCTTAGAATTTTGTGTCTTTTAGAATCAGCATCAATAACCCCTCATTTAATTTCAAAAAGTAGTTACACATCCAATCTGTAATGTTATGAAGGCATTCTGTTAAAGGATTTAAACATAGATGCAAAATCAGGGGTCCGTATTTAGAGTCCCCGCTCTGGTGCATTACATCAAGCACTCCTTATCCACAGATAAACTATCTACATTTAAAAATATCACTAGTGATCTCTTTTGATTCATTTGGGCATTTGAAACCAGTTCTTATAATTATGAAGTTATTATACGCTAAGTTGATTGAAGTTAAAGTTACACATTAATATCCTTAAAAAGGCATCTACTCTTTCTACCTCATTAAACATTACAGAATCTAGAAATATGCTAATTGTTTTCCTGCTGGACACAAGATGTTTCCTACTTCACTGTAAAGTTCTGGACTGACGGACTCAAACTGGACTAGGATGATGTCGTATGATGCAGTATACCCAGCAGTGCAGTATGGTATGCTATGTAAAGCACATGAGATAAGACATTACATAAATAGACTTGACTTGACCTGACACACACAACCTCACACACTCGCCTCTCTCTATCTCCCTCATGCACACAAACACTCACAGGAACTGTTGTATCAGTTTCCACCGCAAAAGCTCATTTAAGTTTCTGTGCCACTCCTTCGGTCTTCCAGGAAGGCTGTTTCTTCTTCCTCCCCCGAGCATCATCTGCATCCATCCAGCTTGTGGCGGCGCTGGCTTCTTGGAAAACCGCTGTATTAGTGCACTAAAACATCAGACTGAAATTGGCCTTGTATCAGATGCTGTATTTTTTCTATAGAGTTTTAAATGCCTTTTCTGAGGGTTAATAATGAAATCTGGCAGCGGTCAGCGAAAAAATATTGCTGTTGTGTTTTTAAACTACAAAATAAGTATTCCTTTAAGGGGTGAGACAAATTCTCCTGGCTCTTAAGCCTGATAAACTATATTAAAACTCATAAAACTCAAAAACGGGCCTGATTTCTTTAGCTCATGAAAAGTTTTGGAAACAGGCTTTTAAGACAATATATGTTTTATGATGGGAGTTAAAACACAAATTGGCATGTTAAAGTTGAAATGAAAACTTTACTCATTTAATTATCTGATATTCTTCTTGGAGGACGTTGAAACGGGACATAACACATCAGCATAAACTGTAAGACAATGAGAAATCATTCATGAGATATGGTTGAGAAATATCAGTTGATTCAAGGGCTAGAAAAATGTTTTACTTTATTGGGGGTTTTTCACATGTACTTAAGCAGTTGAGGTTGCCGTTTCTTAGAAAGTGAGAGTTTCCTAGAAGTTTGAAATCTCTGGTTCATGGTGTCTTTAAGTATTTACTTTCTTCTACTCTTAACTACTCTTGTGTTCTGTCTGTGTGTGTGTTTCAGGTGTCAGCGTCGGCTGTTTTAGAGGACAGTGAAGCTCTATTTGCAGACATGGCACTCCGCCTGGAGAAAACCAAGGCTGAGGTGAGGAGCAGCGACTGGAAGTATCCGCTGTAATGTTACTAATAGTTATAGATATTGGAGTGATAGTGTAAATAGCTGCGATTCCCTTAGAAACCAGTACAGTAGTAGAACAAGTACCAGTTAGTACTGGTACTAAGTGACCAACTAAGAGTAGCTGAAGTAGCCTTAGAAGCAATAGAAGTCAAAATAGTTGTCAATAAGTATTAATTGCAGCACAGTGGTTGTTAAATGCTAACAATGCAGCAAAATTATCACTATTATTTCTTTTTTAAATGAACTTGAGTTGATCAAGTCTGTCCAATACGCAAGATAACAGAAAATCTGAGGTTCAGCTGCTCAGAAAGAACAATAAAGGAGACACATTTCTGCTCTTGATTTGTCTGATTTTATATTTTTATAACCTAGTTAAAGACCTTTTCCTTATCGTCCCAAAAAGTAAAAGCATTATTTAATAAACTCAGTGGCACAAAGTCAGAGCCAGACCGGTAATACAGAGCAATCTGCATCTAAGTCCACCCCTAAATCAAAAAATAACAGCTATGTGTAACTCTGCACAATCTTTACAGTCTTGTGAATCGTTTCTATAGATCAGAATGGTTTACATCCACGCTATGCTCGTGGAACTGTAAGGCACATGACATTACAACATCTATTTGTGTGGCGCAGGTTCGAGCGAGACTGGAGGCGAAGGAGCGAGCGGTGGTTGGGAGGGCCGAGCGGGACATAGAGATGCTGGAGAAAGACCTGGAGGAGCTGAGGAGGAGAGATGAGGAGATCAGCCGGCTCCTGCAAACTGAGGACAACGCCCACTTCTTACAGGTGAGGGGGAGAAAGAGGGAGGATGTAAAGGATACAGACCCACAGCCGAGATAGATGAGAGGTTTGCTCCCTCAGAGATAAGGAACTCATCAGCAGTTGTGGAAAGTAGTTAAGTACATTTCCTCAAGTACTATACTCGAGTATAATTTTGAGGTACTTTACTTCTACTCTGAGAGAAATATTGTCGTTTCTACTTTGCTACATGTGTCTGACAGATACAGTCGCTAGTTTGTTCTCAAATTAAGATTTAACATAAAAAAGTAAAAAATTCTAAGCTTATAAAATCTCAAAAGGCTTTGTTAAAGATTAAACTAGTAAGTAGTACTAATTAGACTGATTCAATATTTCAAGATTTGAAAAAAATAAAAATAAAAACAGATACTATAGTACTTTTACTTCAGTAATGGAGTTTTATTTGCAGTATTGGGATTTTACTTCTTTCCCCGCTGCACATTAGCAATTCTTGCAATTGTATTCACCCATTACATCTAATGTATCCTGGAGACTATAGGAACTCACTAGAGTGCATACTAGGAAGTGCCCTGAGAAATTAGTCTGTAGATGAATGATGGAGGAGGAGGAAGAATGAAAGAGAAGGTTGAATGAGTCAGCAGTGACCAGTGGAAAAAGACAGCACATGCTTAAGTGCTATTTTCAAATTCAATTGTACAAGGAATTAACGAAGGGAGGGAGGGAGGGAGGGGGGAGGGAGGATGCTGTGCCAGGCTGCATTTTCCACTCTCTCTCTTTATTGATCCAGGCGGCTCCTCTGCTATGCATCCCTCTCACCACCGGTCGGCACTCCAGAGTCTTCAGCCTGCCCACAGAGGCTTTCAGTGGCGCCAGGAGAGCACTGTGTCACCTCCGTAGCCGCATGGAGGAGGTCTGCAGGGAGGAAGTGGACAAGATAAGCCGTGCAGGTAGAGCAGATGACCTAAAGGAAGGATGATGTGATACACTGAATACTAATAGATGTACCAAATACTCAAAACATGCAGACACTCGCTCCTTTAACAGTTTGAGAATATTCCATTTACATATTGCAACGGTTCAGCATAGATAAAGTTTCATACTATGATTGCATTTCTCTTCCAGTTAATGAGAACTACGTGTCAGGTGGAGAGTGTGTAAAAGGTAAGCATAGGAAACATGATACACAAAAGCACACACACACACACCCTCTGTGACAGTGTCAGGTCTGAGGTGACCCATTTTTAGCAGGCTGCAGGTTTTGACATGACATTTAACACTGCGAGGGACAGTGGACGTGTTAATTATTTATGCTGAAGAGGACAGGACGATGTCTGATACAACACACTCTGGCTCATATCCAAGCTCTGCTCCGTTCTAATCAGTTCACTTTAGTTTAATTGGAAGCAATCAAATTCAGTGCAATTTGTTTGAATGACTTTGTTTTTTTGGAAGTGTTTCAATGACAGCCACAGTAGCTGCTGGTCATATAACCGTGAGATAAATGAACATTTCTGTGTCCCCACTTTGGCCAATATTATATTAAAGTACAAAGCGACATCTTTCCAAAAGCTTTGTCCTGGTTATGTCATAACTTGGTAGAAAATAGCTCTCGGTGAAAATTGTCCACAGCTACGTCCGTGGATTTTCCTGACTAATTGGGACATTTGTGTTCTTTTTTTGTTATTATTGGTATTGTTCAGTTTTTCAAAAATATATCAAATACCATTCATATCCACTGTATTGGGGAGGTGGCAGAAATCTCAGTGCGGAGAACTCCAAACCACAACAAATACAACCAACACTATCTGCAGGGCAACATGGGGGTAAGTGGATAAATGTGGGCATTTCTGGTAATTTCGGGTGAACTGACCCTTTATCTTACAAACAGCTGGTTTCGTATTTGTTAGGGTGCTAACTAGCCAGCCAAACGTATCAACTTTAAAGGAATAGTTTGGAATTTTGTGAAACACACTTATTAGCTTTCTTGCAGAGAGGTAGATGAGGCGATTTATACCACCTGTTCAATATGAAGCCGGTGCCTAATGCTAAGCTAAGCTAGCTGTTACCTGTCAATGTGAAGGGGGGGGGTTATTAAAGCAGTATAGAGTTGTAAAGTGCAAAGAGCTATTTTGGGCACACCTAATTCTGGAAGTAGATATCCCATTCATTTTTTCGTTTTTTTTTTTGTTACATGACAGTTGGAGCTCTTGGAAACTCTTTTTGTTCGAAAATTCTTTAATAAAAAAAACCAAAGGGACAACTTGTATTCAAAAAACCTCAAGAGGTAGACTTTAACTACAACTCCCATGGTGCATTTTAAATTATGTGACGTGACATACATTCTGGGTCGATTGTGGGCTGATTCTGCAACTATAGCACTGTGTTTTGTTCGAGACTGTGTTTTGAATTCACTACCACTCTGATTTACATCCCGACCGGCTTCTTCTCTACGACAGCCGAGGCTCATGGGTATTGTACAGTTTAGACCCATCCGCCATGCCAAAATCTGGGTTGAAAAATGTAAAACTGGCAGCCGTAAGGTAACATGTAGGATTGTGAGATCATGTGTCTGTGTCTCTGTGTTCGGTAACATTGAGGATATTGTTTAAAGAAAAATTGAATTGGGAATACAGAATGGGAAAAAAGACTTCTAGAACCAGCATCTCACTTTTAATTCTCAACGAGACAGCAAATAAGCATATTTCCTAAAATTCCAAACTATTCCTTTAACAATAAAGCCACTATGTGTAGGATTTTCAAGAATGTGAGACAAATGAGCTAAAAGTGACACATGAACCAGTTTTAACTTTTAAGACTTTCTTATTTTTTCACAAACTTTATGCCACTGAAATAATTTAAAAGATGTTACATTACAATTCTACACGTAGTGACTTTAGTATTTGGTACTTAGGCTACATGCACAAAGGCTTTATTAGGTGTGTTTGATAACAAGGTATCATTATCGGACTGGAGTTATGGAATCATTATTTACTTTACTTTCTCTCTCCTGGGTCCTCTGGGTGTAACTGTGCTTGTTCCTTCCTGTTTTACCAATCATACATGTTTTGTACATATTTTCCTTCATTTCTGTCTCACTCGTGCTCTCTTTTCTTTCTCCCGCTTTTTATTTGACTTCTTGTCTTTGGTTTATGTTTCTCCCTGTATGCCTCTCTCTCTCACTCCTATTCAGTTCAGTTTCCGTTCATTTATTCCATTCCATTTATTTCCATAATATGGACAAAAGTATTAAAAACCAGTTTCTCTGTGTCTTTTTCTCATGTGTCCCTTATCAGCAGTGCCGGTGTCGTTCCCCCTGTCCTCTTTGTCTCTGCAGCCGGCCGATCAGAGGATGAGGGCAGTTTTCCTCAGGTGTAAGTATTCCCACTACTTCTCAAACTCTCTCCATCTCTTCTTTAATCTTTTTCTTTCTCCTTCCTTTACTCTCTCACTCTCTGGTGCACCCATTCAGTATGACCATCCTGCATGTCATTCCCCATTTTGCTCTCGTCTTCTCTTCCTCCTCCTGTTCCATCGTTTTCTCTTTCTTATATCCATGCTTCTAGTTCACCAGTTAAAAGGAAGATGTTCGGAAATGTGAGAGCCCTTTCTGGGTCCTCATCAATGATTGATGGCAATCATACTGTATTTATGACATCCATGTCTGTCATTAAGACCTGTCTCGTGTCCCGACAGAAACAAGTCAGCTGGCCGGATGACAGCGTACCATTACCATGTTAGGCATTAATGATTCATTTGGTCAGAGGCGGATTAAGGCCGTATGTGTCGTTTATCCCCCCTGTGCCAAAACGTTAGCTGAAAGCCTGGACGGGGTAATTAACATCTGTTGGTCAGTCTGTGTCCCACTCAACTCTTCAAATCATTTCTTTGTTCTCTGTCACCTTCCCTCCAGTTTCATGTCGTCTATCCTTGGACCCTGATACAGCACACCCAACCCTGGTTCTCCTGGAGGGGCCCCAGGGTGCTCACTGTGGCGAGGAGCCCCAATCCTACCCCCCTCACCCACAGCGCTTTGATTCAGTGGCCCAGGTCCTGTGCAGGGAGGGCCAGTTTGGAGGAGCCAGCTACTGGGAGGTGGAGTGGAGGGGCGGGGGATGGGTCGACATCGGTGTCACCTACCGAGGTATCGGACGCAAAGGTGGCGGAAAGCCCTGCCTGCTGGGGCGCAACGAGAACTCTTGGCGGCTGAGGTGTACACACGCTGGATATGCTGCATGGCATGACAACCGCAAGACCACGGTGGCTGCACCGCCCTGCCCCAGAATCGGTGTGTTCCTGGAGCGCCAGAAAGGAGCGCTGTCCTTCTACAGCGTGTCGGACACAGTGGTGCTCCTGCACACCTTTCGTTGCCCGTTCTCTCAGCCGCTGTACCCAGCCTTCCGCCTGGACCTGGACTCCACGCTGCTCATCTGTCCCAATGAGGGAGGCAACGGACACCCAACCTAACCTTGCCCCCCACTCCTCATCCAGGACCCTACATTTAAATACTGCAGGAAAGGGCTGTTGGTTGGTAGAAGTTGCTGGTGTAGGAGCAACAATATCAGGAATCACAGTCAGGAATCAAACCCTTTTCTTTTTCCATACATATCTTTTTGCATAGTCTCTCCTCCTGTAAGTGTCTCTCTCTCTCTCTTTTTAATCATTTTTCAAAAAATGTAAATACCCTTTTGGATCACTGTCAGCTCAGGCTGAGCTGTAAAGCATATATGCATTTTTCACAGCAAACATTAGGGCTTGTCATTGTAGGAAAAGCACAGGTGTTAGTAATAACATTAGCAATGGCTCTGTTCTGTTCAAGTTCTCCAGTAAGCCATGACAGTGTGACAGTGAGCCAGCATGCACAACATCAGGACACTGAGACTACATGACAGCTACATGCAATATCCAGCCATCATTCATTTCTTTTATTTTCACCTGTGCTTTTCTTACTCTGACATTGTTAAATCGCTGCAGTGAGAAAGAATTCAGTGCACATTTTCTGAGCAAAGATATGGATAGAAACATGTGAAAACTATCTGTTCTTTTATGGTCTGAAAAAAAGTATTCACCCCGGTTTGTGTTTTTAACATTGTTTACTTTGTACTAAAAATTACAATTTTTTGTACATTGTTTAAGTATCAGAGGGTGGCTTTTTTATTTAACTCCCTACAGTGACAGGCTGAATATTTAGTACCTGCGACTACTTGAATATCCACAGCAAAAGACTTTTCTTCATCAACCTCACTGCCATGGGAAACCTGCAAAAGTGACCTCAGCATCAGATTTAGACTAATTAAAGGCCATACTGTAGCAAATGATTTTCTTTGGTCATCTCTGACATGTTATTGATGCTGTTTGAGGTCATTTTCTTTTATGTGGGTGAGTTTTTGTGAACACTGCATTGTAAGCCTGTCTTTTAAGTAGAATACCATGAATCAAAGTAATCGTTTGATAGTTGGGAAATATTCTTCCTATTTTATTCTATATTGCTTTCTTGCTGAGACTTAGATGAGAAGAATGAGACCACTCTCCTGTCTTTACATTAAATAGGCTACCACCAGCAGCCACTTAGCTTAGCACAAAGAGTGGAAACAGGGGAACCAGCGCTCAAAGGTCACAAAGTCCAGCTACTGTTTCCAGACTCTGAGCTAAGCTGAGCTAGGCTAAGCCAAGTAGCTGCTGTTGGAAGCTTCATTTTTACTGTATAAACATAAGAGTTGTCGGGGCGCCCAGGTAGCTCACCTGGTAATTCCCAAAATGTTGAACTATTCCTTTAAGGCTACAATCACATTGCAGGTCTTCATTCTCAATTTGAAATGACTGTTAATGTCAGTTTTTTCACATCATCATATAATATTTGTGTCAGTATATAAGTAATATTCAGTAACAGTTTGCGATTACATATTACATACATGCTAATGTTGAATGTTAAAGCCACCACAACCTGGCAATAACATGGTGACCTATGGTGAATTATTTTAAATGTACTTACTGTCATTGCAACACTGGTTAATTATGTTTATCAGAGACGTGCTTTGCATGCTTTCAAATCCAATCTTATTACTGTCTCATATCCACTCATATCTAATCAAGTCCAGTCTTATTATTATTTAATATCATTCATGGTTAGAAAAATGTTACTTTAAACTGTTCACATGAATAAAAGAATGTCAGCTGTTTAAGAAGAAACATGTCAGAACAAGAACTTAAAGAGTCTGCCACTGTTTCCCCTGACCCCCGTCTCCTTCTGGAAACTGTTTGATTGTAACATTACTAGGGATAGGATTTGGAATTCATACTGTATGACATTGTCTTCCTATGCCTCATTGAAGTTTTGGTTTTGAATGGTGCTATTCCAGAGGAGTGTGATCACTTGACCGAGCACTGTGTGAGGCTTTTAAACCAAACCATTTTTGAAATGAAAATGTCACACATGGATAAACTATTTTAAATCCAAAGACACAGCAACATCACACAAGTACATAGAATCCGATTATTGACTTTCTTTGTGAAACATTTTTCGAGTGCACGTTCAAAACTAGAAAAAAACAAGAGCTTCATTAAAAAAATATTAACATATTGCACATATTATTAACAGAAAGCCTAAAAGGTATTACATCTATGCTACACAATACCTTGAAGTTACAATTCCACACAGGCATTTCTGATTTTATCAATCCAAAGTAAGAAACTATTTTTTTGCCATGAAGTGCATTATTCCACAAGCTGTAGGGCTGTAACAGGAACTGAACTGTCCATGCTGGTCTGAAAATTTTATCTTGTAGCATTGTCTCCACCTGTTTACTCACTTTGCTTCAATTACTGTTCCTTAATGTGACTGTAAAATGTTGTGATTGTCTGAGTGTTGCTTTTTCCCAGGTGAGTTCATTCCACCTTGGCTCGCAATAAACTGATCCATGGAGGTCCGAATTTGCGGTCTGAGACTGTTTTATATTGTGAACTTGAAACATTAGTACACGTTCACAAGAATTTATCAATGAGAGGAGTTGTTACCACAGCTAAATACTGCCTTTATTATGCACTAAGCTGAAGTTATGGTAGTGTTGATCCAGTGATTGATTACAGTATGTTCAGTTTTTGTACTTTACATCTAATAAATCCCTTTCTCATAAAAAATACCTTAATTTAAATTAAAAAAAAAAAATAGGTTAGAATACTGTGAATCAGTAATGCACCCTCCTCTGAATACATTATGTGTGGTGTCCCACAGGGCTCTACTTTAAGCCCCATCTTATTCTCACTATATGCTCCTCGTCATTTATTATCAACAGCCTCAAATTATTTTCATTGCCATACAAATAACATTCAGATGTGACTTCTTTTAAACCCCCAGAAATGTCAACTGTCTTGGAGAAAGTTGGTTTTTTTTTTAGATTTATTACCAAAATCCAGGGATTTTTTAAAAATGTTTTTGTTATGTTTGGGGTTTGTTGCCTTTGACAGTGAGTATAGTGAGATCGGGGAGGACAGTTTAGATGGTGCGAGGGCTGAGATAAGTTGAGCGTGTGTCAGTTGATAAATCATATAATCTTTGGTAATCAGTTAGTCATGTAAGTAACGGTTTCTAGTTCCTATTCCTCAGTTGTGTCTAGATATATTGCAGTTGACCGAAAAACCAAAAAAAGAAGATGTACACTGTGACATTTGTTTTACCAGTTATGATTAACTGATTAATCCTTTATAATCAATTGAACATTCAAAAGATCAATCAATTGCACAGCTAGCATATCAGAATCAGAATCAGAATCAGAAATACTTTAATACACTCTAATACATTCCTTATATATTGTCCAAAAATGTATGTTCTGCCATCAACAACATATGGTTTAGGTTGAGTATGCCTGCAGAGTTCTGTCTACGGTGCTGCCTGACAGTCTCAACCGAGGGAACAATACTCCCTGAAGTCTTGTCACGTGTGCCCGCTGCACATAAACAGATGTCATATGATTTTCGGTTTATTTTCCAACATGGCGGTCAGGTCGCAGCGGCTGGCCGTCGCTCTCCTGTTCATCTTCAGCGGGGTTTTAAGCTTTCCTCTCGGCCAGGAAACCAAACCGACTGCAACCTGTGGATACGAGGTCAGCTGTGTTTACGCTTCTGACATCTTATGAGTGTATTTTAACTCTTTAACATCACAACAGCTGGATAAACCTGAAGTTTACTTTCAGTTTCACACATCCGCCTTTCTGCTTTGTCAGTTTGTTTGAGGAACAGAGATTAAAACTGAAAGATTTGTGTCTCCTTTTATATTTTTATATTATTTCTGTGCTGACTCTGTGTGTGTGTGTGTGTGTGTGTGTGTGTGTGTGTGTGTGTGTGTGTGTGTGTGTGTGTGTGTGTGTGTGTGTATATATATATAGTCATGTCATGCCACCAAGCCCAACATGCTGAACGTCCACCTGGTGCCTCACACACATGATGATGTCGGCTGGCTCAAGACTGTTGACCAGTACTTCTATGGAGGTCAGTCTGATACACACACACACACACACACACACACACACACACACACACACACACACAAACAACAGTGATGGAATGTAACTAAGTACATTTACTCAAGTACTGTGTGTTAAGTACAGATTTGGTCTTTTAATTTTACACACCTTCTACCCCACTACATCTCAGAGGCAAATATTCAACGTTTAGTTACTAGTTACTTTTTAGATTACTATTGGTCATGCCCTTCCTGTCCAGTGAAAGCTGAGCTGCAAACTTGTTTTTCTGAGCTCATGAAACATTGTTTTTAGAGATATACCTGGTTCTACAAACATATGACGGTCTCTGTAGAATATGATCCATTTCTGTTAAATAAATTACCCTAAAAGTGTGTAAAGTATTTAAAATTAGCTGAGCGTGACACAACTACAGCTGTAAAATGCAACATACACATCTTATATAATAGTAAAAAAGCTGACAGGGACCATGTTCCTGTACAATGAGTGAGTTTTACCTTTAATACTTTTAAGACAAACACACAATGAATTTCTTTCCCACACATTTTCTTGCCTTCACTCTTTTTTTTGGAGGAAATAAAACCTTTATTTACATCCAGAAAGAACACACTGAGTAACAAGCTCTCTTTTACAGGTGTGCAAAAGAAGGAAAACGTAAACAGTGCTACTTTGTGCAGCAGTGAATGTGTAAATGTAATGATTATATCATTCCTGCATGGACCTTCTTCCTTCATTTTGTTCGTACAGGTATTTTACAATAGCTTTTGTGTGAACAGTTTGTCTCCTCTTTTTGATAAACAGCGTGTTGGAAACGATCACTTCGGCTCCCTCTCTGTGGTTTAATGTCCTGTCATTTGCCTTCCGTCAGGGGTCTTTACTAGCAAACGCTGTGAAAACAGTTTTATAGTTTTAGTGCGATTCCACATTACATGTCTTTTTATAGTGGAAACAGCAGCGTGTTCTGCAGGTGACCGTCATCTGTTCTTGTGTGTGGTTATGTAAGCAGAGATCATCTGCACTGTAGGTGTGTGTGTGTGTGTGGGGGGGTGTAATGGTTTTCAATATGTTACTGCAGTGTAAGCACAGTTTTTTTAATTTTAGGGTTAAAGCTTTTTAAAATATCTAAAAAATAGTTTTGCTGTTGCCATGAAAGCATCTATACAATGAAAGCTCCACACATGTAGGATATATTTTTACTTTTCTGTAGGATTCTTCACTGCAGTGACTGAATCCTCACAGCTTCTTCAAGTTGTGATTCCTACATTAAAAAAATCTCGTCACTTTTGTCCTCAATCTGTTAGGGATGGGAGCTTATCAATTTCTTTTTAATTGATCCCAAACGGGCAGCACGACTATTATCAAGGGTAAATAATTTATACAGTAACATTAGCGCCATGCAGAAAACCTAAATGAAAACGAACATGCTGTACAAATATTCTCTCATTTCAAGGGGTGGGAATCGAGAACCAGTTCCAAGTGAGAACCGGTTCCACAATCAACAGTGGAGCTTTCTACACTGTGTTCACACTCTCTTGCGAAAGAAATGCTGAATAACTGCATCGGCCTGTTTCTTTTTTTTGATTGAGAATCGGACAGATATCAATAAAATCTTATCAATTCTGATCCCTACAATCAGTGTGTGTTTGTGCATCTGTGTAGATCGTAATGACATCCAGCATGCCGGGGTGCAGTACATCCTGGACTCAGTGGTGGATCAGCTACTGAAGAATCCAGACCGGAGGTTCATCTATGTGGAGACGGCGTTCTTTTACCGCTGGTGGAAACAGCAGAGCTCCAGCATGCAGCAGACCGTCAAAAAACTGGTTAACGAGGGTACGTGAATCGACCCTGTACATGTACACCAGAATGGTTACGTGCCTGAGTTAATGGTTACATATCTGACTAAACTCTTCTCCCTGCTTTCCCCTCCCCCTTCCTCCAGGCCGTCTGGAATTTGTGAATGGCGGCTGGTGCATGAGTGACGAGGCCACCACCCACTACAGCGCCGTCATTGACCAGATGACCATGGGCCTGAGGTTCCTCAATGAGACTTTTGGGCCTTGTGGTCGCCCTCGTGTCGCCTGGCACATCGATCCCTTTGGCCACGCCCGCGAACACGCCTCCATGTTTGCACAGGTAGTTTATCTTAAAGGAATATTTAGACATTTTAGGAAGTACACGTCACTGTCTTGCTGAGAGTTGGTTTAGAAGTTGTGGTTTTTACAGGGGGGTACTGTTTCGAGCAACCGTTTCCTGTGTATTTTTTTCCAGATGGGGTATGACGGCTTCTTCTTTGGTCGCCTGGACTACCAGGACCGGGCTCGCAGGAGGAGGGACAAGGAGCAGGAGCTTTTGTGGAGAGCCTCTGACAGCCTCACACCACCCATGGCTGACCTCTTCACTGGTAACACACCTCTGACACATACACAAATAATCCCTCTCTTCTATAATAAAAATAAATATTTTTCCACTGGTATATATATATATTTTTTGTAATTTGATTGAACTGACCCTTTAACCTTTGCCCTCTGCCCCCCCTCTCCTACCCAACAGGGATTCTTCCCAACGGATACAACCCTCCTGAGGGATTTTGCTGGGACCAGTCGTGTGATGACCCACCAATCAGAGATGACCCTGACCTGGAGGACTATAATGTTGATGATGTTGTGAGGCGCTTCCTCGCCATCGCCAATAGTCAGGTTAGACAAACACACACACACACACACACACATACGACCACGCACTCTCCCTAACATAAACACACCATATCTCATAGGGGAATTTCTAAAGGATATGATGACTGATACAGACATAAGTGAATTACAAGCTGCATTAACAGCCTGAAGCCAATAAATACAACAACTGTTAGCAGTCACAAGATGCCAGCATTTCATTTGGCAAGAAATCAGAAAAACTACCTTGAGATTATGACTAAGTGATATGATTTGATGTGCAAAATGCTCACATAACTGCTTTCTCATATTATTTTATTACCTCTTTGTAACCATTACTTCTCCTCATCTCTTTGCTATCTCAGGCTATAGTGTATAAGACCGATCACATTATTATGACCATGGGCTCAGACTTCCAGTATGAGAATGCCAACCTGTGGTACAAGAACCTGGACAAGCTGATCCACTACGTCAACGCCCTGCAGGCGAATGGCAGCAAAGTCAACGTGCTCTATTCTACCCCCTCGTGTTACCTCCAGGAGCTGCACAGAGCAAACCTCACCTGGTAGAATGAACATTATCACTTACTGTTCCTCCAATAATCTCATTATCAGAATTATACCCACAATAGCAGTATGAAGAGCCGCCTTGTGTATTTTTACTGCAACTTCATCCTCTTTTCAACCCAGGGCTTTGAAGATGGATGATTTCTTCCCCTATGCAGACGACGCTCACGATTTCTGGACCGGCTACTTTACCAGCCGACCCGCGCTGAAACGTT